CGGCTCGCCGATCACGCTCACGATCAAGGGTCTCGTGCCGGGCAACCACAGCCTGCTGGCATGGCACAACGCGTGGGACGCCCTCAACGAGACTGCGACGCTCGATGTTTCCGTCAATGGACAGACGGATCTGACTGCCACCAAGCAGTCCGCGCGAGTGGACAACATTTGGCAGGCCGCGAGCTCGTACCTGACCTTCGAGGTCACGTCCGCCACGGAGGAGACCAAGATCGTCTACACCCCCAGCAGCGGCGGCGACAAGCGGGCTTTCCTCAATGGATTTGAGGTCGACGCCCCGTCGTTGCAAAACCAGATCAGCTTCCCTACGCCCAAGCACCGCGACGAGCGCATCGAGGTTGCGGCGGACGACAGCGTCATTGCTACTTGGCAGGCTCCTCCCTCTGCTGAGGGCGTCAAGTACAATGTGTACCTCGGCACGTCGCAGAACGACTTGAAGAGCGTTGCTGAGGGTGTGACAGAGACGAGCGCCAAGCTTTCTGGTAGGTCTTGATGTCTTTTTTTGCATTGCCGAGCAATTTATCTGATCTTGTTTCAGGCCTCAACACTGTCGACAGCTTCTACTGGCGCGTCGATGTCGTTTCCGGATCGACAACCTACACCGGCCGCGTCTTCTTCTTCCGTGTCGCCCAGCTGGCCTTCCCCGGCGCCGAAGGTTGGGGGTAAGACTTCAGACCCTCTCCTCATGGCGGAATTCACTAACACCATCTACAGTCGGTTCGCCCGCGGTGGCCGCGGCGGCAAAGTCATCAAGGTGACCAGCCTCGAAGACACCACAGATGAAGGCACTCTGCGCTATGCCCTGACCATCGCAAAGGGCCCGCGCATCGTCGTCTTCGACGTCGGCGGCGTCATCACGACCACCTCGCGCATGTCCGTCAATGACCAATACATCACCCTCGCCGGCCAGACCGCTCCGGGCAAGGGCATCGTCATCCAGGGCAACCCGCTCGGCCTGACCGGCGCGTCCGACATCATCTTCCGCCACATGCGCGTGCGGCCCGGCAAGGTCTCTGGGCAGACTATTGACGGAATGGGTATGCAGGGTTCGAACCACTGCATCTTTGACCGCTGCTCTATGGTATGTTCCCCTGCGGATGATGCGATGTGGGAGGATACTCGATGCTAAGTACGAGAAATAGGGCTGGACCATCGACGAGGCTTTCAGCTCGCGGTCTGCTTGGAACATCACCTTCCAGCGCAACATGATCTCTGAACCTCTCAACGTCGCTGGTCACAAGAACTACCCCAACGGCACGGCTCACGGCTACAGTGCCACGATTGGCGGCGACGTCGGATCTTTTCATCACAACCTGCTCGCCCACGCCGAGGGCCGTAGCTGGAGCATGGGTGGTGGTGTTGACGACAATGCTGCGTTTGCCGGTCAGCTTGATATCCGCAACAACGTCGTCTACAACTTCGGTATGTAACACATTAGGCATGAAGAGGGAGTGGTTATTCTAACATGTACAGGCGGCCGTGCTACCGATGGCGGTGCAAAAAAGGTGAACTTTGTCGGAAATTACTACAAGCATGGGCCGGCCTCCACGCTCACCTACGCCCTCAGAGCACAGGTATAAGGGTCTTCACCATTATGCGCAATCACAATGCTAATGACATGTATCACAGTACGAGGACAACATGCCTGGCATGCAACAATACTACTGCGCCGGCAACTCCATGCCCGGCTTTTTCGACCAAGACTCGGTCCAGTACCCCTCCGGCGACGGCACCGCCACAAAGAACACCACAATCGCCTGCTGGGCCGACGTCAGCTTCGACCCGGCCCCGACCTACCAAAAGTTCTTTACCGAACAATTCTTCGAGCCCCACGTCGAGACCCAGCCCTCGACTGAGGCCTACAAGCGCGTGCTCTCCGACAGCGGTGCTAGCCAGCCTGTACGCGACATCCACGACGCGCGCATCGTCAACGAGACGGCCACGGGAACCGCTGCCTACGTCGGCTCTGTGTCGGGGAAGAAGGGCCTCATTGACGACCCAAAGGACGCTGGCGGGCTCGAGGACTTCCCTACTGTTACGCGCGCCGCGAGGTGGGATGCTGATGGGGATGGTATCGCGGATTGGTGGGATGGATCGACTGGCGGTGATGGGTATACTCCTATCGAGGGGTACCTCAACTTCATGGCTGATCCCCACGCGTACGTGTCGCCTTCCAAGTCTGTGGAGGTTGACCTTGCTGCCTTGGCTTTAGGATTCAAGGAGCCTACGTTTACGGTTTCTGGAGCGAAGAAGGGAGAGGTTACTGTTAGCGGGGGCAAGGCTACGTATGCTGCTGGCGCTGAGGCTGGTATCGATCATCTCGAAATCAGCATCAAGGATGGCGAGGGGAGCACGTGGGCTCGGTCGTTTGGTGTTGCCATCTTTGCTGGTGCAGAGGAGGCGTGACGCGGCAGAACGTCGGTGGACGGCGAGGACCAAGTCAGGTACTTCTTTCTAGTAGCTTGGACTGCCAACGTGTAGTTGACCCAAGACCGTGGGACAGGAACATGATCGATTCCTAATGAGTCCAAGAAGCCGATTGTGTCAAAGTTAGGACTCCATACTCGCGGCCATAGCTCTTCCACCGCTGTCAATCTAGGAATATACCTCATCTTTCAACGCTTGAGCCGGCAAAGAGGTTCCCTCCAGGGCAGCTGATTGGCTACAGTACGGCATCGAAATATCTTCGTCAGCCAAATGTCTGAGCGCCTGACAAGATGCTTGTAGCCTGTGAAGCTATACTCAGGCAATATCTGGTAGAGAGCCAGCCAAGATTGTGCAAATTCCCCAACACAGACTAGCTCCAGCCAACGACTCGACGAGATCAGGTAATAACGTCGGCAGTAGTATACAATCTTGGGAAGTGCATAAGGTAAACATCTCAAGTCCGGTCCCTGGTGTTAGCCCCGGGATTGCTCATGTTGAGACGCTGGACACAAGTTAGCCGCAGGCGGCTGAGGCACTATGCATCAATAAGGATCTGTGTAGTCCTTCCCCGTTAGCACCAATATGTTGGTAGGGGTCCAAAGCAGCGTCGAGAAAACTTTCCGCAATCCACGCCACCAAACTTGTATTAAGTTTAAATGCCAAGGCCCTAAGTCAAGCCATGGCCGATGGGATATGGCAACCCTAAGCAACGTCCAGGGGTCCCGCATGTGACTTCCAGCCCCCAATCTCGAACCACATTAGCTTCCCCGACGAAAAGAGTTGTGAAAATTTGCTGCAATTGCGAAATCGTTTTACACAATGCCATGAGGAGTCTGGTGTCTGTTGCTGTCGACGTCTTGCTAGTGTGATTTGGCCCACTTCCCGGGGTCTGGTAGCAACCAGTCGGGAAGCAAAGGAAGGAAACTTACGCAGCGTTGTGTTTGACGCCAGTACACATATGTCAAAGCGCGCAGTCAGTCGGCCGAGATTCTCCGATGGCATAGGTATGCTGTCTACCTAGGTTGTCTTGTAGGGGCCTAGATAATACATGTTAAGATTCAACAATGAATTTGTTAAGGGTGTGTTTCTCGACACAGAAGAACATTCGACGTGAAAGTAAAGAAATCTAGACCCCAGAATCAAATCTGGACCCTGAAGCTTGGCTAGATCTTGGGGGATCTCTTAACTGCGCTGATCATATCCTTTGCTGGGATAGACGTGAGACAAGACCCTCCAGGAAAGGGACGAAGGATTCGGGACGGGCCCCAAAATTCTGGGAATGGGTTATCCGGGGGACAGTGTTTTACTGCCGGGATGCCAAGTGTCATTAAACCTTTTGCCTTTAGCGTCTGCTAGTTGCGAAAGCTGTGCCTGGCTAGCTGGCAGCCCTACACCTGAATATCTTTTACTCGTCCACGGACCAGGGAGATTCAGCTTGGTCCATGCAGTCTTGGCAGCTGACAGTGCCGGGCTATGCTTCAAGGGTTGATGGTAGCTGAATTATTCACCCTGGTGCTGATGTCCAAGTTCTCAGTGCCGTTGAGGATGTATGTAATATCGAACCTAGGTTCAAGAGTCATCAGGAGTTCAAAGAGCTCAAGAACAATGAGATCGAACAAGTTGAATCAACGGTCGACGGCGTAGCCGTAAGCCTCCAGTTTGTCAAGACACATGTCCTTGGTCAACAAACGTTGCATGAAGATACCTGCAGAGAAAAGGAGTTGACGCAGGAACGAGGCAGAAAAAGACAAGATAGGGGCGCCATGTGGCTTGCCTGCCGCACTTGTCGCGAAAAATCTATTTCCCCGTACTTAGTGCTACGGTCTATCACTTCCCTCCTCGCTTAGACGACTTCCTCCCGACTTCACACCCTCCAACATCCGCTCTTTCAACTTCCTTCACGCCAAATGCTTCCGCCCACACCCCCGACTAGAACAACACTAATAAACTTCATGTGGACTTTGATTAGTATTTTCCTCCGCACCATCAACTGCCGCCTCCCAAAGAGGCAATGAGGCTGAGAATATGCCTGCGTGGTCCCCGAAAACACCCCTGGTAGAGTGGAATTCGGTAGTGCCCGATCGAGAATTCGGTTTTCCATGGTTGGGGCAGGCAATATGGTTTCGAATACCGCGAATACCACTAATACGGTCCACTCAGATAAGGAAAAGAAACAAGAGGTGAAGTGTGCTCAGATGTTATTGAGTCCGTCAACCGTTGACGGTTGACACAACCACCATTGTCAGTTCCTCGATCATTGGCGGTACGCTACGCGAACAATGTGCGTGCCATTCTGCCAAGAAAGACTGACGGAATTGGGCCATGAGGCTGAACAGCGTTATTTTCTTTTGCCCCCTTCATTTCACGATGCAGAAGTTTTCAACTTCATGGCGTTTTCTCGGTCTGGTATTCCGTATTGGGAATGGCGACAGCCTGCATACTAGGTATTCCGCCATCGTCTTCCGAAGCTGCTCGATACGTTCATCTTTTCGACTGAGTACGTGGAAGAGGAAATTTGCGGCACATCTTGGCAGGACGGGGCAGAGTTGGAAAAGTTTGATGGAGATGTTTACGCAACTTCAATTTGCATCTGAATTCACTCCTTTTTTCGGCTTCGAAGATTTCCATATAATCCCATCTGAAAGTCTGCATCTACACCCTCTTATTCCTCATCCACTCACACTATAACATAAAGGAGCATTATCTTGAGATCGACACAGAATCATCTAGCTGTGATATTTCTTCCTCATCTATCTCCATCCCTTCGACCTCACATCCTTCTCTTCCTCAGTCTCACAACTTTCTTCAAAATGAGGGTCACCATCGACAAGCCATCTTTCCACAGCCGCAGCCTCTCTGTGCCGGCACCTCCTACACCTCCCCCCGAAGCATTGGGCCTCAATTTCCCCGGTTTCGATACCTTCAAGGCCAACTTTGACCTCCCCCTCACACCTGTTACACCGCCGCCAGAGTACAAGGAGCACCCTTTCTCTCACAACGACTGCGTCCTCGACCTCTCTCCCGTCGTCGACCCAAATGATCAACCCCTCGTGGCCGTCATTGGCGTCGGCTACGTCGGCACTCACCTCGTCGAGTCATTCTCCGCCCACTACGACGTCCTCGGCTTCGATGTGTCAGAAAAGAGAATCAGCGAGATCCGCGCAGAGCTCCCAAGCGACCGCATCCGCTTCACAACCTCCAAGCCAGACCTCCACGAAGCTACCCACTTCCTCATCTCCGTCCCGACCCTCCTCAAGGCGGACAAGTCCATCGACACCTCCTACCTCCAGTCCGCCATCGCCACAGTTGCCCAGCACGCACGACCAGGCTCCACCGTCGTGATAGAGAGCTCCGTCGCAGTGGGCATGACACGCAGCCTCCTCGGCCCCGTCGCCACCGCCCACGGCTTCTACGCCGGCATGTCCCCAGAGCGCGTCGACCCAGGACGCATCGAGCCCCCCTGCCACGCGATCCCCAAATCCGTCTCGGGCCTCGACGACGAGATCCCCGGGTCGCTGGCCTCGGTCATGCGTCTCTACAACCAGATATTTGACCGTCTCGTGCCCGTCAGCCGCACAGAGGTCGCCGAGATGATGAAGCTCTACGAGAACTGCCAGCGCATGATGTGCATCGCCTTTGCCAACGAAATGGCAGACGCCTGCATCCCGCACAGCATCGATCTCTACGAGGTCGTCGCCGCCGCGTCCTCCAAGCCCTTTGGCTACATGCCCTACACCCCTTCCCTCGGCGTTGGCGGCCACAGCATCCCCGTCAACCCGTACTACCTCCTTTCCAACAGCGCTTTCCCCTTGCTGGAAGCCGCCGCCGAGAAGATGGCTGCACGCCCGGCCGCTATTGCCCGCCGCGCTATCGATTCGTTGACGAGAGACGCCAAAACTGGGGCTGCCTCGGCTCTGGTTCGTCCTCGTGTCCTTGTCGTCGGTGTGGGCTTCAAAACTGGCCAATCTGTCCTGAGCAACTCACCGGGTGTCGACCTCGTCCAAGCCTTCGTTCGCTCCGGCGAGGTCGATGTCATGTATGCGGATCCCCTCGTCAAGCAGAGCACGGTGCCTGTTGCGCCTCGCCTAGCTGATGAGAAGTGGAACCGGGAGACTCTCGAAACGTTTGATATGATCATCGTCGCTTTCCGTCAACACGGGTTGGACTTTGGTATCATGGACGAGCTTCGTCGCGTCAAGTTTGAGATGTGGTGCCCGTGATTTTCTCTGTGGCTTCTCATTTCCTACTCAGAGTTGTTTCCTCCGGCGCTATTAGAGAAGAGGTCAGATGTTTTGGGTTCTTCTTATTCGCATTGGTTTGTGCTGATGGACTGGCGGGGCAAAATTGCATAAAATGAAGGCTTGGATAAGAGTGTGATCATAGACTTAGACGTGCCTTCGATGGCAGTCCAAATAATAATCATAATTGTTCTGAACAATGTGCTCGGATGATACAGTGAGCAAATGTTTAAGCAGAATTTATTGTTTCTGTTGGAATAGGCCTACATTAGGCAGCAGGAGGTTGCTGCCGCGGTCCGTTCCAGCCACGGTTGTCCGTGTGGCTCAGCCACACGAGGGTGGTATACCCCAGACTTCCTGCCGCCGCTGGCACCTGGTTAGACTTCCACTCAACAACAACAAGAACAAGCAATATCACCACTACAGTCGGTGATCGTTGCTACCCACGATACTCGAGTATTTTCCTTTTCCACCTGTGAATCCAACAGTTTCCTTTGCGACCCCTGATTTCTTGTAAGCAAAGTATTGAACTTGCCGAAAACTTCCATCGAAACAACTAATACGATGTGTGAAACCTCCATCAGAATTACACCACTACCCAACTAGATAGTCCCATAGACCCCTGCCCTCTCCTGAAGGCTTGCGTGTCGGTTCTCTTTTCTTCCGAAGAATCATTAGAAGATTCTCCAGCCTTCTTCCTAAGTTTGATCTGATGCTTGCGTAGAACAAAGACACAAACCGCAGCAGCAATAAACATCAACCCCGTAAACACCTGAGCCCCAAGATACGTCCCCGTCCTCATATAAATCACCAACTCAACAGGCGCACTAACCGTCGAAGGAACAACCATCATCAACCATAACAGACTCAGCCCCGACGCCAGATTCTCCGCACCCAGAACCTCAGCTATCACGGGCGCCGCATTGGCCCAGAACACACCCGACGGGAGGCCTACGACGAGCGCAAACGCAATCAACGCCCCAAACGAAGTTGCATTAATCCAGAACGCGAGGGAGAGTATCCCCGTCACCAACGTCATTAAGAACGTGACATTGATGCGTCCGAATCGATCGCTGAGCCATCCGATGGCGGGACGCCCAACAGCCTGACCGAGCATGAAGACCGCCGAGACTTGGGAAGCTTGAGACGGGTCCAACCCGATGACGTTTGCGTAGTTTGCCAACGTGAAAGTAAGAATGAAGTACCCCAGCATGCTAAACGCGCCAAATCCGAGAACCAGAAGATACTCCACTTTCTTGAAGAGGGAGACGTCGAGCGCCAGCCTCTTTGCCCGCGTCTCTCCATACCGGGTTCGGATTAGGAGTGTTGACACGACGTTCGCCACTCCAGAGACGATGGCGAGAACGCGGTAGGCCCAGAGGAGCCCCATACTGTCCATCATGGCGCCCACGGCAAGCGAGTACGTCAATCCGCCTAGTCCCGCACCTGCGATGGCTACGCCGTTGGCTAATGCGCGGCGAGCGGTGAACCATTGCGCTACGATACCATACGAATGCATACCAATGCCGAAGAGCAACCCCTGCGAAAGAAACAGATGCCATATGCTAGTCGAGAAGCTTACGCACACGAGGCTGGCAGACTGCAATACGGCGCCTAGAAGCATCGTCGGTCTGGTGCCCATCTCGCGCGCCATGATTGTGGCCAGCGGTGATATGACGGGGGTAACGCCTATGGACAGGGAACCGATGGCGGCGTATACTAGAGCGCTCGTGCCGGGGAAGATGTCTGCTTTGATGTAGTGGGCTAGGAAGACGGAGTAGGCTGCGCTGATGCCCCAGGAGTGCCCGTATATGATTGCCATTGAGGCTGTGACGATCCAGCCGTAGCCGCCATCGGGAGCGGTGTCCGGGTGTGTTGGGGGTGTTGGGGATTGTGAAGGTTCTTGGTCTGGGAGGGGTGTGGTGGTGGTCTCGGGTTTCGTTTCGACGTGCATGGTAGGAAGGTTTTGCCAACATGAAATGTGTGGGTTGGTTGACGAGAAATGCTCAATCGTGATGTTTAATAGCAGATCAAACTCAATTTTCTTTTCGATTGGTCCGACAACTTGTTTAAGTCTTACAACATCTTGACTTACTTATAGCCAAGGCAGTACTTATTGCAATGGGACTCGTACCCCGGAAGGGCTCCGAGCAAGTCTAGAGTGTTGTAGTTGCATCGTATACGCGAATGCCAGCTACCTTAAGAGACGGTCCCGTTCCCGGTAAGTGGAGGGCTTCGAGCTATTAGTGACAGTAGAAGGGATATCCAATCAGAAAGAACGGAATACGAGAGTGACATCCACATTTAAGGCGCAAAGATGGACGTCGGCCGTAGATCCTCTGGGGGGTCTAGATTTAGTCTCCGGCCCGGAGACAACGGACACATTCCTCCTCGACTTGAATGATCTTATTCTCGTCAGACAAGTTTCCGTAGGGACAACTGCTTGTCAATCTCTCCTTATTTTCATTCGGTCTCTTGTCGTGTAAAGGGCGCAATGACGTCGATATGCTGGACATCGCAAAAAGCTACGCGTGGTCCTACTGGACCCTCCCACGGCGAAGCAAAGTCTCCGCCGCGGGTAATATTCTTTTCACGCGGGAAGCTTCTCTTCTTTACCGCATTCATGCTCGAGAAATCTTCTTAGTCTTCATGAGACGCTGACTCTTCTTCTTTGTCAGGGTTCGGTGCTGGCCTCCGTACATTTAATCCTCGTGGTTCAGAACTATGGATATCATTGACGGCCCAGGAATTGGAAGCAAAGAGGTACTATAATTTACATCTCATCGACGTCAAACATGTAGCATTACATTGCAACCAAGACTAGAAATGAATCACGTCCTTCTTTGGAGATTTCCGGATTAATCTTGTGTTATTTTTGAGTTATGTATTTGATTGAAGAACCTTTCGCCGAAACAGGTCAGCTTGAAAAAGAATGAAGGGGTATTTGTTGACGTTTTCCAGCACTCGATTAGATATTACTGGGTTGACCGTTTTCTACATACTAATAGCTGAATAGCATCATCTCATCGATTATTCAAAGTGCCGATGACATGTTCCAAAAGGTTCAAGCCAGAGTGGTGGTCCAAGAAAACCTCGCAAACATCGATTCAGTGAAATGTTTGCCATGATGGAATTGCCTAAAAAAAAATTAAAACAAACCCCCCCCCCAAGAAACGATACGTGTCGGATTGGAAGTCCAATTCGGCCGCGAGTAGGGGCAGAGCATGGGCCACCTCGAGGTGGTACACTTAGACCTCGACTACCCACCCAACCTCCGGTTGGAATCTCCCTTCTACTCCTTACGCAGAATCAATCAATACAGAGATATTGATACTTCGTCACCCCCAGGACCCTACGGTTCGAACCAAATTCCCTGTGAAAGGAATACCAACAATACGAAACATTTGGCTCGTGTTTCCTGTTCATTCATCTACATCCTTAAGACCAGACCTGCTTTTCATTTCGTTTCAAGGACCTTGGGAGTGCCGTGGTGATTTCACCGGAGAATAAAAAACGTTTGGCCCCACCAACACCGGAAAGATTCCCCGCCATCAGGCGCCATCGACACCCTCGGATAGTTCCGTAGCATCATGTCAAGCGCAATCACACTAATTCTCCAACTAGACCCAGCCCTACCTTAGACAGCTATAGATACCAAATCTGCAAAGATCCAAAGGGGGGCACAGACGTCCATATTGATGACCCATCCGATGTATCTTCCACCATATTCACCAACCAGGAACATCGCTGAAAAAGTCCACGTCCCAAGTCAAAAGTTGGAACTCCTGCTGGATGGGATGAACTACTCTTACAAATGTCAAGAACAAAAAACACCCAAGGATTAAAGCTCGACATCACGTCTCAGGAGCTCTCCCTCTGAAGCTGTTCCCGAAAAGCTACCCCTAGCAGGAAATAGTACCAGGGTGAGATGGCATAAAGGAGAAGCTAAGTTTTATATACGCCACGCAGCATTTGTGAAAAGGGGTTTTTTTTTCCTCCAAGTCAGTTGTGTCTACATCATGGGTATCGATACAAGCATGCAAAGCAAAAGAAGAAAAACAGAGAAATGCCATGCTGTGCTATGCCATGCTGCGCTATGCCGCGTTAAATCCACTCTCCTCCTCGCCTTCGTTTCCGACTCTTCCCTCAAAATCCCATGCCCCCTTTTCAGAATTCCCACTGTTTGGTTCAGGATTCTAATCCGGGTTTACTTCTTTACCTTGGGCGAAAGCACCTTCACACCCTGCGCACTATCCCACACACTGGCACTCACCCTCGCAGGGATCTTGCGCCCCCTCAGCCTCTGATCAATCAACCAAAGGCCAACCACGAACTCAGCCTTGCCCAGCATCCCTCGATGGCTCCGGTCCACGGCATCCCACACCTCAGCCAACTCCTCTTGCGGCAGACGCGAACGTCGCCAGACCTCACGCGCCACCACGTCCACCACACAGTCAGCCGCGTCATGAGGCAGTGGAGCGCCGCCGAGACTCTGAAACGTCAGCCCCGTGGTTGAAGCAGAGTCGACCAGCAGCACGCCGCGGTTACTTGCCCACACCGCCTCGTAGCGCCTCCGTTCGCGGACCGTAATCTCGTCACGCCATCGCCGCCGTGCGCCCTCCTTGTGGGAGTGCTTGTTGCTAGCGCGCTGATGCTTCTTCTTGCGGATCTCGTCCTCGTCGTCTGATTTCGACGGTGGCTGGCGGAGCGTCTGTCGCATGCGCGGTGACTTCGTGCGGTTGGGCAGTTGGGGCGGGGACAGCGTAGAGTTGCCCGTGTTTGAGGGTGTCAGGCGGGCGGCGGCGAGGGATCCGGCCATGATCGCGTTGGAGAGAGAGTTCAGCGGTAGACTCGTAGTCGACGAGGCGGGTGTGCGTCGCGGGGTTGTTCGGCTTGGTGAGCTATTTGCTGATGAGCGGCCTGGAGTGCTGTGCGTAGAGTTCGTTTGCCGAGGTGTCGGGCGAGATGGGGCGTATTCGGGAACGGCGGTCTGATTTGACTCTGCCGAAACAAACGTATCATTAGAAGAGCTTGTATCGGCAGTCGAAGGTCTTGGTCCAGATTCTGAACGACGAAACGGCTCCTGAAAATGGGCATGACCATAAACTGATGCCATACTGCGAGGCTTCATCAATGGGGGAGGTTCCCGTTCCTTCGATTTCGTACCCCGTGGCTGAGGTGGCGTAGGCGGCTGTAACCTGCCCTTTGATACCGGTCTCTTCAGCTCAGGGGGAGCGATCTCATCACCTGGTCGTTCAACCAAAGGAGGCGAGATAGGTTCCACCGGTTTGGCCTTGGCCCGCGACCTCCTTGGTTCCGGCGTCGTCGGTGGCTGCGCGACCTTCGGCTCCGGCATGAGCGTCTGTGTGATGGGCACTCTCGTGAGCTGCGACCTCGACCGTATGTTCGGTGCCTCTGAAGCTTTCGATGACATGTTGACTATCGTTTCTCGCCCCCTGGCACGCGGAGACTGCTCTGTGACAGTCTGCCTGTGCACAGCCTTAGCCGGCGATAGGACAGGTTTTGCAGGCGACGACTTGAGCGTAGGCTTCCTCGCCTGCGGCGTGATATCTCCCTTGTACTCCTCCTTTCTAACAGCCATGTTCGGCGTGACAGGCCTTGGCTTGACCTTAGGTTTCGTCTTCGGCACCGCCGGCCTCCGCTCTCCTTCTCCGCCCTCCTCCTCCTCAACGATGCCCATCCTGGCCGCCTTGGCACGGGCAGGACTCAACTCCCTCTCGGGCGTCAACGGCCGAACCTTGGGCCTAGCAGCAACATCCCCAGCGCTCCTCTTCACAGGATCGACATCCTCCCCTGCTCCTCGCTCAAACATGCTTATCAGATGATTCGTGGCGGGGATGGACGTCTCGTCCGGCAAATCGAGGCTGCTCACCACGCTCTCCGTCTCCCCGACGCTGCCCCGCCTGTTCTTCCTCGCGAGCTGCATCTGCTGGAGCTGGTTCATTTGCGCGGGCGTCAGGGCGGATGCGGCGGGACTCGCGTGCGGCTGCGGACTAGGCGAGGCGCTTCGTGAGGCGGCCAGCGTGGCGGCGATGTAACTCGGGCTTTTCGGGTCGAGCCGCGTCGTGTGCGGTGTGAGGTGGGATGCAGTCGACGAGGCTGCTGGGCTAGAGGCGAGGAAGTTGGATAAACGGTCTCGCATGTCAGAAGTGCCATCGCGGCCGAAGCGGCTGTCGCCTGGGGTCGTTGCCAGGCTCGCACCCGTGTGTTGGCGTTGCACTGGGCTTGTGCTCGTACTTCGGTCGTAATTTGACGCGGTAGAGGCGGCGATGAGGCTCGCGCCGCGGCGACGGGTGATGTTGCCGGCATTTGGTGTAGGTTTCGGGGGCGGAATGGGCTTCGGTTTCGTCTTGTTGAAGGCGAGGTTCGCGCCTTTTAGAGCTGCGGCTGCATCGGAAGCGCCGCCCGAAGGTGGGTGATGGTGGTGGTTGTGGTGGGTGTTCATCATCATGGCGATGGACGACCGCGCGATGGTATTGTAGTGGAAGACGGCAGCATCGGAGGGCTATTGAGAAATAGTTGGGAATATGTTCGATTAACGGAGCGAGGACGTTTCGGTCATCGTTGGAGCTTCGTGTTCGTCGCGGGTGGTCGAGGATGATTGATTATTCCGCGTATTCAAAAGTCGTAGGTTCGAGCAAAGGACGTACAAGGGGAGGGGTCGAGGGATCGTCGTTGGGATTGAATACAGGTGCAACGCTACGAATGACCTTAGCTAGGCAGATAGGAGTTCGAGGTTGAAGATAGAGGAAAAAGGAAAGCTGTACAGAGATGAATACGAATAAAGGTAATGTGGTAATACTACGGATACCCGACCCCAGGTGGTAATGTGCTCGGCAGCACGGCGCAGAAAGTGGAAACGGCACCTGCCACCTGGACGGTGTTTCGGCTGAGCTCCAGCTTCCTGCGGAGATGCGCACCGCACGCGATGAATGCAATGGGGGGGGGGGGACCAGTCAGCAACAGAAAACACAGAGAAAAAAGATGGAACGAACGGGTGGCCCGGTGACCTTCCCTCCCAATGGAAGGCTTCTCATCCCAGTTAATTATCCATCCATCTCAAGTTGTACCTTGCACCGTTAGGTATCCACTCTCTCCGGTGCCGTCGGGTCTGTCAACGTCCGTCCGTCGGGTTTCCTCCCCAAGAAAGTGTGTGAAGCTTCACCTCTCGTGTCTCTTGACCCCAAGCCCAAGGTAGACGTGATCCGCGAGTCAATTAATCAAACCTATCCTAGCACGCTGTTACAAGACATTGGGGAAATGACGCATCTGGGGGAATCCCCTTACTCCGTATGTACCTTAATTAATAAGACGCAACCACCGACCACCACCAAGGAAAACACGTGTAGATCTCGACATCACCGTCATAGCGGATCTGCACACCATGGCCCTGGCTAGATGCTCATCCTCCGGCAAACCTTTTTTATAAGCACCACTAACCCAGACAGACGGCAACGAAAGTCCTTAGGTCTGGTCTCAATTCGTTCCTTCACTACTCCGTACCTTATCTACATAGGACCTAACACATGCACCATGCGTATTTCCGCCGGTCGCTCAATTAACTTCCCTTAGCTCCCGCATCCCGGGCGTGCCGCCGCCCACCAGCGGCCTCCCACCGTCTTACACCCACAGCGTCATTCGACACCGACGCCGGAACTCGCGGCTAGGATTCCGTCTCATTTGTACGGAGTACTTGACTTGACTTCACAAAGGCACGTTGCAATGGGGACCGGACACGATGATAATGAATAATGTATGCATGACTGCTTTTTTGTACTACACTACGAAAGATTCCTATTTGTCCCTTGAGGCTAAAACGCGCAGAAAAAATTCAGTTTGACCAAGCAAACAAAAGACAAAGACGTACGCTCGTAATCCTCGCAAGGGGTTTGGCGTTGGGAAAGGTTATCACCCCATCCAGAAGTACCGACCGCCTCGAGAAACCAAAACTCCAATTCTTTCCATTTGCTTGCAATGACCAAGGAAAACAGAAAGTGGTATACCCAGATTCGAGGGTAGCTGGAACTTATTCCGACAAAGAGAAACAAAACAACGGTTGTCGTCAGAGCTGTCTATGGGCCACTCTAGTATAGTCATGTCGTAACATGTACCATGAGAAACCCAGATGCCTCGCGGCTCGGTTGCCAGCATGCATAGAGAAGGAAGAAAATCACAATGGCCTCCCATCACTTTGCTTCCTTCAACTTCCACCAAACACACCTTTCAAAATACAAACGACACGAGAAAAGAAGCGAAGGGCGTCCACGGACACCGAGATCCTCGACCAATTATATTCTTTGCCAAGAAGAGAAAAAGGCATGTTCGTCATGAGCGAGTAGCAAGTGCATCGTTCAGACATGAGGCGTAATCATCCGACATTATCATCAGGCTGTAGAGTTTCTACGACCGGCGCACCAAGATGAAGAGACACAACGAGCGGTGGATAAGAGACTTGTCGCACTCAGTATCCATCCTCATCTGTCCACTCGCTGCCCGAGATGATGCGGTTGCCCTCGCCGTCACTATAGCCATGCACAGCATGTCCACCAGGTGCCGTCATCGGGAAAGGTCGCTGCCTCTTAGGATCGCTGGCCGGTGGCCGATAACCAGCTTCGGGCTCGAAGCGCTTGTTGCCGTTGCGGGCGGCTCGCACTTTGGCGTAGTATGTGTCGCTGGCATCCTGCTCAGGTTCGCTGGCATCGTCGTATGTCTCCCAGTTTTCTGAGCCTGTCACATTACTCGACCCGTTGGACGAGTTGGAGATCTGGCGGGGTGGTGGCGCTTGTTGGTATGCAGAAGGGGGGTACTGGCGAATGGTTGAGGAGTGTGAGGATGGGTAGTCGTGCTGTGAAGACCCCTGAGAGTGATGAGAGCTCTGGGAGGCGTACGACGCATGCGAATTATGTGAAGCGTGAGAAGCATGCGAGGTGTGAGAGAGTGTCGAGTTGTTCCTCATCAGCTTCGGGTGCTGGCAATCCTCGTCATATGGGTCCTCAAGCTCGACTTGACGCACGATACTCGCGCCCAACCCGACTGCCTTGTATGGGTTGACTGGGGTCTCCAGCTCGATCGTGTTGAGATCTCGCATCTTGGGTGGAGGGGCACGCATCTGGTGGTTTCCACCGCGGATCGTCGCGTAGGCGTCAATCCTCGACGCTGGCCTCTCCTGTTGTACTGGTGAGGTGTTGCCAAAGTTGCCGTACTTGAGGTTGGTCAACGGGGGCCGTGCTGGGATCCTCGATGGACTACCCGGTGGCCTGTTGAGAGTTTGTGCACGCTCTCTCAAGCTGCCCATAGAAGATGCTGGTCTGGCAATTTCTTGTGCTTTTGCGTGAGCAGAAACAGGTCTAGTTGTGGGAGCGGCACTGTTCATATTGTTCGCACTGCGTTTGGTGGTGGGCGCAGGTGCTGGTGTTCTTACCCCATTGCGAGTTGGGGGTCTAGCGATAGAGGTGGTGCTCTGCGCTCTGCTGTGCCCTCTTGGTCTGGCCGCCGATTGAGGAGCAGCCCCAACGCCTGGTGTCTTGGATCGCGGACCGGGTACAGGTCGGTCTTCTGCCTCGAGTACGTCCAAGTAACGTTCCCCATGGACTGTGAAAGGCCGTCCGTACTCGTCCTCGAATCTCTCGAGAATTCTGCGCAAGTCGACAGCAATCTTGGGCAACTCCTTGGCGATGCGCTTCCGCATCTTCTCCTCTCTGAGAAGCTTGCCGGGATCGCGCTTCTCGCCCTTCTGCCCGCGCATCATCAGGCGAGAAGCATCCTGACTCGATGCCGCGAGCTCGTCGCGCTCACTGGTAAGGCTTCGATGTCTTTCGACCAGCTCGAGAGTAGGGAGGCGCTGTTCTTTGAGAACCTCTAGTCGTGCAATCTCACGCTCGTGAGCTTCGAGTAGAGCATCGCTGTATACGTCGGAAAAGGCGGGTGTGAACTCGAGCATCTCGTCCTCGGAAAGATAGAGCGAGTCCCAGAGTTCCTGTAGCTTGAACCGCGCATCCTCGACGAACAAGTGCAGGTTCTGCCTCTTCAGCTCGTTGAGGCGCGCGAGCTCATCCTCGAACTCGTTGATTTGTCGCACACCACAGCCTCGGTTGCTGTTGAGGAAGGCCTTCCTCTCTCCAATGTCCACCTCCAACTTCTCCCAGAGGGCCTCAACCGCGGCGCGCAGGTCCTTGAGATGCTTCTCGCGGTTCTTCTTCTCGTCCGAGAGCTTGTCGCGCTTTGCCTTGAGACGCTCAATATCTTCCTCGTGCAGGCCCAGCTGTTCGGGTGACTCGCGGTAGTACTTGACGATGGCACCGTCGGTTTGAGCCTGGGGAGTTCCCAGCTCAGCCCAGAGTTGGATCGTGTGCTCGCAAAGGGCCTTAACCGTCGCGACGCGGCGCGTGTACTCTTCATAGACTCTCGTAAACTCATGATCGAGCTTGTCCACGTACGATGGTGATAGGTCGAAGTTGGGAGGGATGGACTGGTTCGGGCCCGTCGGCGGCAGAGGAATCTTGACAAAGGTAGGTTCAAGATGTGACGAGTATGATTCGAGGGCTTCGACAAGTTCTGCGTGGCTGGTCAGTACGAAGTCTTCTGGCGTCTTTTCGCATACGGGCTGACTCACTCTTGACCTGTGCGAAACGCTCCCTGTGCAATCGACTGACTTGCTTGTGCTTCTCCTTGAGTCCCTGCAAACATCTGGTCAGGGGGTAGGTAATCTGGATATCATCGTTGCTGTCTCGGCGTGCGCGGTTGTCGTCGAGCGATGCCTCCATCTGCTGTATTGTGGTGATTATGCGCTCGGCTTCCTCAATCATTTCCTCCTTTTCGTTCGTGACTAGGTGCACCTGATCGGTCAGGGCCTTGGAAAGCGCCTCGAAGAGCTATGTCTGAATGTCAGCACAGAGTGAGGAGAGAATAAAGCGAGCTGGGAGAGGCGTACGTCTTCCTCGCGCTTTTCGCGATCATGGGTGGGAACGCCAATCTCATCGAACAAGCCGTGCAATTGGCCGATGATGGTATTGACCTGTTGAGACAGGTAACTCGTGTCCATGGTGGATTAAACAGGCCTAACGAAAAGCCAAAGAGAAGGTGAAGATAGGTGCAAAGGCGGTATGGTTCGGAGAATTGATAGGTGATTAAGGTAAGTACGGTAAGGCGTGCAGGTCGTGGGGGTAAAAGAGTGGGCGCAGCGCAAAGGCTGAGTGTTGATGCTATTCACGGTGGCGGGGAGGCCAGTGCGGGTGCAGTCGATTTGTCTACTTTCTCTGTGGTACTTGGATGCGGTTGCGACGGGGACTAAGGTAGGAAGCGAATGGTCACCGAAAGAGTTGCGGCTTGTAGTGCATCGTCCAGCAAGAAGGTGTCCAAGAGAGAGAAGAGAAAAAAAAGGCTGTAATCGAAAATTGCAGTCTCTTTGGATGTGTGAAGCCGAAGAGGTTTGTCTGAGACTGGCCGATCTGTGTCTCCCAAGTCAGGTTACCTTGGGTTGTTGATGGCCGATGGGATCTTTTCTTCCGGAGGGATGGCGAAGGGCGGAGGTTGGGGAAGGTGGAAAGTGGGAAAGAAGGGTGGGAGGAAACAACCAGACGAGAAGGGGCAAGGCGACGAAGATGCGACGGGAAGGTGCCACTTGATGAATTGAATTCATGGGAAGGAGGTGGCCGGGAATGTCGTGAAAACGGGTCCTGGGTTTTCCTGTTTGGGTTTGCGTGGTGGGGCACGTATCCACGGCAACGGGGTAGGCTTTCAGCAAGCAAGGGTCACAGTGCGTGAGTGCCTTTTTCGTGGTGGGTTTCAGGAAAAAGCTACCCCGCCATTGGCTACCTTCCGTCCATTCACGAATTACCTTTGCTCTTGCACTTCAGCTGCCTGCACCTTCTGAGACAGGGGTATGAAGAGGTACGTATTGTTGCCAGGGCTTCAACTGGTTTTAATGGGTCCCTCGCTTGCTGTCAGCTCAGCCCAATCAACCAATCTTAGCTAAGCACGCTTGATGAAGCGAGCATCTCCCACCTCGCACCTTGCACCCCGTCAACCCAGCATTTGTCCTGATATCGGCCTCTCAAGAGGCTGGTCATCTAAACGGCCGCTTCATAGTTGGATAAGGTAATGTTTGCGTACTCTTAAATTTATCTATCCTACCGAACGAGAGGGCCCTAAAATCGCAAACGAATCTGTTGAGTTGTGATAATGCTGTTGGTTGGTCGACTCCGTACTGCACGCAAATTGGACGATCAAACAGACGCCGCTCTGCACAAACAAATCACCCGCAGCTCTAGTCGCGCATGGTTTACTTTGCTGCATCGCATCGCATCGCATCGCCCCCAACGAACTATCACGTCCGTCCTTTCTGCAAGTCATCTAGCTGGTTGCTGCCCACAACAAACAACAACCTTTTTTCTCTTTTTAAACTAACATCTTAGACCCAAGTCTTTCGTACGTCGTACGTCTGCCTCGCATCACGCTAACATCATGCACACGACAGCTCTCTTGCACCATCAGGGCCCATCACATTATCCACCTCGATTCCTTCGTGCACCTCAACCTCGCAGCTTGTCCTCCTCAGACTTGTTTCCGACTGGCCTATGCTACGAATAGACATATCCAAGTCTCCAACAATACTCCGTAGGCAGAACAGAAAATCAAGAATATCGATCTGGCTCATCTCGGCTCTTACCCATCCCATGCTCGCCCCTCCCCCCTGCCACGCTGCCGTGCCCCATTCTGCTGTGGGCATCTTCAGGCGCGTGCTCCAGCGGTGAGACGCAAACGCATCCTCTTCCACCCCCTGGTCTACCCGTCGCTCACCACGGTGACGAGCAACCAACCTTGCTTTTCCTGATAGCAATCGCTCGAATAGCTGTCCCCATCAATCGCATTCACGGCGGTACGGACTTTATACTTTCTTCTTTAATTCGATCTTCCCCTCTTATTCAGGTGATCATCTTCTCTTCCAGCCAAGTCCAGGCCCTCTCTCAGCCCGAATGGCTTCCAACTTTCTACACTATGGAATATGGAGAGCTGAATATCCGTACGGAGTACTGTCCCCAAGCTCCCATCTATTCCCCCCCTCCTTGTTGCAACCCAAGTTACAATTGACTGCCCGGGAAACCATGATTCTTAGGACGACAGTCCCATAATATCAGGCCCATGCTCCCTCTCCCTCTCCCAGCCTCCCCAGGTTCGGACGAAAATCTTCGTAACCGACCCGTTCAGAACCAAGTTTGATCTCCGCAACGATTCGCTTCTCGCCGTCGCACTGCCCGGGAACTGAACTGCCCAAACCTGCTCTAATCCAATCCCAATTCAACGTTTCGAACCCAACACACACGGCACAGGCCGTCCACTAGTAAGCTTCTGGGACCTTGTTCGGGGCATTTGTTACGCGCGCATCTCGACCTTTGCCCCCTCCCCTCCCCTCCCTCACCCTGGCTCTGCTGTGGCTGGTGGCTGGAAAATCCAGTGGCTAGCCGCTAGCGTTCCCTCTCCCCAGTCTCTGGTCTTCTCCGGCGACGTCATCGTCGCCTTCTCCCAAGGCGCGGTTGCCCGGTGGACCTTGATGCGATCGTGATCCCGCTTGCCAACCCTGCAGTATCCGTACGCAGTGCAGATCAACCAACCCGTGGCATTATCGCATTTCGCCATGGCCGAGAGATGGATAACGTGCATGGCTTTCTAGCTTATGCCGCAACTTCCACGTGTATACCTCCAGCCTCCGGAGAGCCATCCAACTTTTCTGTACGTAAATGCATTCATTACCTATCAAGTCGGCCTCTGAGAAAACACTAAGGAAGATCAGCCTCCCAGAGACGCAGGAATGCGACAGCAACGGTTGACCCCCACTCCTGCAGGATAGATACCATGAGAGGTCTTGATTGATACCTTTCTTACCTAGGTAGTTGTGGAAAGAGAAAGGTTGTTAGATAACTAGACAATGAATGAGCGAAACAGAAACCACCTTGAATCACAATCGAACAACAGTATGCAACAGCAATTATTCCGATGAGGCCATCGTTTAAGCCCTCCTCGATGCGAGAAAGTGCAACGATGATTGGGCGTAGACATGGGTCTCCTCTGCCAAGCCCAACAAGGAAGGTAAATAGGATGTCTTCCACATGTGACATGGGCGACACTGTCCTCGCCAAGCCCTATTGTTTCCTTCCTACTCCGTATTACTTACGGAGTACTTGGTGAGAAGAACTCGCTAAGGGTCCACTTGTCCAACAGCGACTCATAGCCCTCTTTTTGACTTTCAATCAAGAAACCTCCATATTGATGCAACAAATGGCTAACCAAAGTCTGGACAGAAGCATCTCTGCTCAGTCAAGTCCAGCAAACTCGACCCATCCTTTCCCAAGGCAATTACAGCTAGCTGAACTGCAAGTGCATAGGTGACAGGCCTCATTTGTCTCTCAATACGAAGACAACCCCGCTTGACAACCTGTAAAAGCGACGAGACTAAGGTGAAAGGCTGAGTAATCCGTCATGATTGTCACGCAATTTATAGATATTGTTGAAGATGATTGGCCACATCACATCGCAGGGAGCCGAAAAGAAAGGCTATCAACTTTCTCAAGGCTATTTGGCTCCAGACAGGCTGCACATTCATTGGCCGTTAGTAAGACATCTCGCACCTCATTACATAGGTCATGTCTGTCAGAGTCGCATTCATCTACGAAAGTAGACTGATAGTGCTCGAGCACAATGGAGCGTGATACTCAGCTCGCTAGGCAACCGGTTTAGCAATTGAATTGTAAGTACGTCCAGTGACTATTAAAGTCTCAAGAGTCCCTCGCATAGTCTTGTTCAAGTTGCCTTCTCAGAGCTTCCAAACACTCACGCTACTTCGAATCCTGAACACAATGATTCTCAAACCTCTCGCCAAGGCGGCACTCGCCATAGCCCCGGCAGCCGTTCAAGCAACCTACCCCTTCTCCAACCCAGGCGACCTCACCACCACCGACAAATTCGACTACATCCGCCAAGAACACAACGGCGTCGTCCAAACCGTCATAAACGTAGTCTACAAAGGCACCACGGCCCTCAAAATGACACAGACCTACGACCCTTCCTACGACGGCCGCTACCACTCCGAAGTCGACGTCAACGACGGCTACACCCGCGGCCAAGACCGCTTCTACGGCTTCGCCTTCCGCCTCTCAGACGCCTGGCAGTTCCAGCCGCAGTCGTACAACATTGCGCAGTTCATCGCCGACCGGCCCGGCGCGGGCTGCGGCGGCGACGACTGGATGCCGTCCAGCATGCTCTGGCTCGAGGGCGACCAGCTTACTTCGCGGATCGTGAGCGGGCAGTACCGTCTGCCGGATTGCGGGCGGAGTATTGTGAAGTATGGGAACCTGACGACGGTTGAGCGCGGGGTGTGGCATCGGGTTGTGATTCAGGCGAGTTGGCGGAGCGATGCGAGTGGGTTTTATAAGATTTGGTATGATGGGAGTAAGGTGTTGGAGAAGTATAATGTTGCGACGACGGTGAATGATGATAGTACGTTTCAGTTCCGTGTTGGGTTGTATGCGAACAGCTGGTATGATCAGAAGAAGATGGATGGGGACCAGCCTTTCCGTCAGGTTTGGTTTGATGAGATTGCTGTTGATTCGACTTACAAAGCTGTGGATCCTGATCAGTAAGGAAGGCCGTAAAGCGAAGAGATGAAGTCTGGAGAACGGGTACAGGAGCCTAGAGGCTAGGCAGTGCATCTACTGTCTTGATGTTTCCTTGATCTGGGACCATCGCGCCTAGTCGCTGGTCTCTGGATGGCTGTTATTGCTAGATTCATCAGTACTACGAAATCCACTTTGCCTCAGTCATTGTACTATAAGTGAGATACTTGGTCTTTGATTACGATACAATATGCCACGTTGGCTTATCCGTTCTCGTCCTCTACTACCCAGAGTGACATGTCTGGGTGTGTCTTCAAACTTCGCAGTTCTCGTCATGACAGCACTCAGTGCCTCAAAATTTCATTCCTTGCTTCTGAGGAGTAAGTGAAAAGCCAGATTGATAAGATAATACAGAGACAGAGAGAGGCCCACTGATTGTCTGAGACGGTCGAGGGGTATGATCGGATACTTATATTAACGCCGGAAATGCAGACAAAGCGACCGGTTCGGTTCGGTGGGGCCGAACCTGTATGTACTTGAGACGGCCATGTCAAAAATGTCAAAATAGCGGCGCCCTTGAATGACTCGATGTCCCACTTTTAGTTAACGCCATCCATTTCTCCAATTTGAACAGGGCTTTGGACCAGATGCTGAATTCCGACCAATCAGTATTCATGATCTCGTCTGTTCTGGAGATCGCATCTACTCAGACCCTGTGAACACCGCGATGATGAATGACAAAAGATGACATGGCCCTGTGCGGATATGGTACATGGAAAGGCGTGGGTCAACAACACAAGATTGAGGGAAATTTTTTGACGATGCCCGGAGTGGCGGTCCGGTGGGTTCTGGCGTGACGACTCGACGAGCGATGGTTGTATTTAGGTTCTTTGATGTTCACGACCCCAGATGACATTGAATCTTGGAGTATTCGACGTGTCACATTAAACATCCATTCACTCACTGAGTCTTACATATATCGAGTCTTACTCATATCGACTCTCTCACACAACCACACAACCTCAAGAAAACTCCCGAACAACTCACAATACGCAACTCACTCAGCGGTAAAATCACGCATCGCAATCATAACCACAACTCATCACATCTCGAGACCAACGAGAGAACAAGAACGTCAGATTACGCACCATACCAACAGCAATTGCTGCCAGACTCAACTCTTCAAAATGACAGTCTCAACCCCTCAAACTACATTCACCTTCCGCCCCGCAACACCATCCGACATCCCCATCCTCCTCCCGCTTATCCGCTCCGCCTACCGCGGCGAATACTCTCGCAAAGGCTGGACGACGGAAGCGGACTTAGTAGCAGACCAACGCATCGACGAGCGCGGTCTCTCAGCCAAGATCAATGAGCCCGAGGGTGCAGTCCTCATCGTCAACGACAACACCATCAATCCTAGCAGCGATGAGAAGCCTACCGCCCCGCTAGCATGCTGCGAAATCGTGCGAAGTAAACAGAACACCGACGTAGCGTACTTTGGCCTCTTTGCCGTCTCGCCGGAACGGCAGGCTGGTGGGGTGGGGAGGAAGGTGTTGGGGTATGCTGAGGAGTTTGCGAAGAGGGAGTGGGGAGTGACGGGGATGGAGATGTGTGTGCTTTGGATGAGGGGGGAACTGATTGCGTGGTATGAGAGACGGGGGTATAAGAAGACGGGGGAGAGGAGGGAGTTTCCGTATAAGGAGATGGTTGGCGGTGGTGCTTTGAGGGATGATTTGTGGTTTGAGGTTTTGGAGAAGGAGTTGTGAGGGCTGTCAGGGTCAAAGAGGGGGCTAAGAATGGTGATGGGGATATGGTGAGGGTTTTGATGGTATAAATGAGAGTCACAAGGACTCAAGTGTTGATGATACGTGAGTTGGACAGTGTTTAAATAGAGGGAATGGGCTTATTTCATAAGACTTGATAGATATTGAGAGCGAGACGAAGATTAAACTGAGAGCTATCAGTTCTCACAAGCGTCCTAGAAATAAAAGACATGATGGACATATCACATTCGCCCCGTTCTCAAGCACTACAATCCCCAAGACAGGCCTTACGCAGGCCCAATCTGAACAGTTACACTGCTCCCCGAAAGAGGAACAGACCACCCGCCCCTCGCCTGTCCGATACCCGACGTCGTGACCTTGAAAGCACCCGTCCCAGTGGTACTCTCCAACCAAATGACTGCGCCAACGTAACAGAAACACTCTTCGAAGAAACAGTAAAACTGAAATCCTGGATAATCCCAGCATCAACACTAACAAGCACCCCCAAAGGCCCGATAAACACCTTTCTCCGAACGGCATCCTTCGTCGTAACGCTCACAGCCCCCGAATTCGCGGTAACGACACCTCCAAACGCCAACACGCCAAGTTCAGAGTCCTGAACGACGTACGTCCCAGATCCAAGGGCCAAACCCAAAAGGTTTGGGCCGTAGTCGCCGCTGATGCCGTCCCATTTCAGCGTGTCGGGCCAGCTGTGGAACGAGGCGGCGGCGAAGCCGTCTTGGTTGATGTTGGAGAGGTGGCCTGTGGTGCCGCCGTAGCCTGTGCGGAGGAGGTAGGTGTCTGTTGGGGCGGAGCGGAAGGCGGAGAGGAGGACGAGGGCGTTTAGGCCGGAGCCGTAGTGGTGGATTTGGCGCTCGATGCGGCGGAGTTTGCCGCCGTAGCTGGGGGGGGGGGGGGGGGGGTTGGTCGTTAGATGTGAGTTGAATATTGGTTTGTGAGAGAGACTGAGGATGATGGGGGCATATTAGTGTAGGGGGTAAAGAGTACTTACATGTTATCCCTGTAGCGGCGGGCGTTGCCGTTCCAGCCCCAGTGAGGAACGGTTGGCATGAAACCGAGGACGCTGTTAAGGGACTTTGTCGCGGTGTTTGTGTAGCCAAAGTACCTTTGATACGTGTAAACCAATGTCTGCAAGCAAACTTCGAACTGTCTCATGCTTCGAACGCCTCGAGAGGGGTCCCTCCATAGAATAGGTAGAAGGATCAGAAAACTCACTTTGCCCAATAGTAAACACCCTCCTGACCAGTCGAATCCCACGCCATCTCACTCCCAAACGGCACCTCCTCCGTATCCCACTGTGCCGCCGTTGACTTCATGGCAGCAGACAAAGCACTCGCCTTAGCCGTCTGCCACTCGCGGCCCAAATCGGCCAGAATCTCGCCAAACACCGTCTCTCCCATCAGTCCAACGCGGTTATACCCAACATCCCCCTTCATCGCCCGCATAACCGTCTCATACGCCTGGTTGAGGTACCAGTCCCAGGCATGGGTCTTAAGAAGAGCCGGGTAAGCCCGTCCGACGCGGTAGAGGGACCAGTAGGCGCCCGCAACGTGAACGTAGTTGTAGGCGCGGTCGATGGATTAGGCTGCTGCCTTGTTCCATGATGTCCAGGATGTCCAGTCTATGGCGGAGGAGTACGCATACCCAGGCACGGCAGCGGGCTCGTAGAAGAAGATTGCTTTGCGAACGGTAAAGTCCGAGGTCTGAATCGTTTTCCAGAGGACGCGGTCGACGAAGGCTTCGAGCTTGGTTACCTCGTCCGCGTTGGGCTGGATGGCCTGCTTCATGAAAGCCGAGAGATATGATCCTGCGCCAGCTTCATCGCTGAGACCGGCTACCCATGCGCGGGAGTCTTGCGTGACGATGGACTTGGTCTCGTAGTCGTAGGTCATCACCGAGGGCGCTCGACCAAAGGGGTCCGACGTGTCGTTGAAGTACTGCGCCGTGGTGAGGAACTTGTCGAGGCTGGTGACGGCCTCGGTGGAGGGCTTGGTTACGTAGTAGCGGATCGTCTGGATCTTGCCGTCGGCGTAGATCACGGTCAGGCGGATGCGGCCCCAGGCTGTCGTCGAGGGGGTGACCGTGTACTTCCCTGCTGAGACGAGGGTTACCGTCAAGGCTCCGGCTGGTTCTGAGGCGATGGAGCGGACTGTGGATTGGGCGTATTGGAGGAAGAGCTGCGCTGGCTCGCCTCGCGGGATGATGTAGCCCGGCACGCCGACAGCGGTAGGCGTATTTGTGCCGCGGACAGTGGCGTCGAGATCTCGGACACCCCCCTTTGCGACGGAGAAGCGCACGCCGAACTGGAGCGACTGGCCTGGCTGCAGGGTTCTGGAGGAGGGGGTATTCCACGGTGTCTGAGAGCGCCACTCGTTCTCAGCCCAGGCCTTTGTGAGGACTTGCCACTCGTAGAAGCCCTCGAGTGTCTGGCTGCCGTAATATGTGCCCTCGTAGCTGCGCTCGGCGAGGTTGCGGTATGCTTCAAGAGGCGTGTCGCCTAGCGGAGTGACAACGAGAGCGGCACCGGTGCCACGGGTGGGTGCCACGCGGATCTGGCCGGCGTGCATGCCGACGTAGGGATCCGAGAGGGAGCAGACGCGCTGCATATCAGCGGCATAGCGGTTCGTAAAGATGCTGTTGAATTCGGCCGGGAAGCCGAGACTACCAATCTCAATGGCAGCAGAGCCGGAGTTTTGGAGCGTGAAGCGCAGGCCGAGGTCGCCGGAGACATCGAGCCATTCTCGGGTGATGTTGAGCGGGCTGCCGGAGGGGAGGGTGGGGCCGAGACGGGAGGAGGCGAGGATGCCGGTGGACGGGGCGACGGTGGTGACGGGCTGGCGGGCCGCAGCGGAGTCCCCGTTTGTCCAGGCGGTTGTGCCGGATTGGCGGTAGCGGAAGGTGATGTCGCCCCAGTGGTATTGGCCGTTGCGGGCGCGGAGGGAGAGGTAGTCTAACGGGAGGAAGTCAAAGGTGTCGCCGGCGGGTTTGAGGGAGGCTAGGACTTGGGTGTTTTTGACGAGTTGGAAGTTGAAGTTCTTTGTTTGTTGTGAGGGTGATGTAGCCGCTGCTGAGGCCTAGGTTGTCCTGGGAGAGGGCGCCGGTGAAGAAAAGGCCGGCGGACACGAGGAGTGTGCCGAGGTAGACCATCGTGGCGAAGGAGGCAACCTGAGCCTTTGCGACCTTTCAGGTTGAGGATGAACTGGGACCTGTCGGCTACAGATTTGATGGCTACTTTACACAGCCATTGGGGCTTGATCTTATATAGTGCATTCAACAAGATGGCACAAAGGGAGTCGGTTACGTTATTGATGATGTTCTGACCTACCATGAGCTGAGGGGTTCATTGAGACGAACGACTCATCTGCAACCCAATATGCATATTGGAGGATGATGGCAATGCCACCTCGTGTCTGACATCGTGCCCGATCACACCTGTACAGATGCGGAACGGAGCTCGATCGATATTCTCCTTGTCATGACAGAATCAAACAAGACTACCTGTCGCATGTCGCTTTTGGCTCATGATCTCTGGATAACTTGTCCGGGACAGACGCCCGAGTGCGACACTGGATCGGGCGGCGGATCCGACTCTTTGCAGCAACCGCAAGTATTTAGAAATTGTGATGGACGCTTACCTCGAGACCACACACCATCTCCATATCTGGATAACCTCAACTTGGAAGGTCGAAGGATGCTAGACATGATTAAGCATTTTACCAAGCCCGTATCCTCCTTCTAGCGCAGGAGACTAGGCGGGTTAAACGCGGGGTACCAACGAGTACCAACAGCCCATCGACTGTTGAATGCAACCCTCAAAGTCGCCTGGTCTCATCTTGATTGGGCCGCAAATAGAGAATGACATTTGATGCCACTGAGGCTCCATCCTTCCAACGGGGGAATCAAAATCCACGCATGGTTCTCGCCGGCTGCGCGGCACCATGATAGATTATCAGAGATTGGTTTCCAAGACTCTTTAAAGAAGTTGAGCCGGGTGGGATAGGCTGAAATGATGAAATCAAGTGGGATAATAGGGCTGGTCATTAACCCAGTGCGTGAGGATGCGAGACCGAGTTGATGTTTACCTAATTGACTCTGTTAAAGTTCTTCGAGAAGGAGAATAATGAATTGACTCGGTCGATGTCATGGACACCCCAGTTGTGCCATGTTAAGGGGGGGCAGCAAAAGTACGAGGTCGCTTGGTGATTTTAGCGGACGATCTGGCGCAAAGCCAATATATTCGTGTCACTTACGAAATTCCAGGGGAAGCAAAAAGAGTGGATGCGCTTAACTAAGGTTATTCTTCTCAAAGAACTCAGACGATGTCTTGATGACTTACCTTAAGTATAAGCAGACCCACCCGATCCTAGGAACCCTCTAGTTTCACTTAGTCTCTCAGTCAACTCTCCGAATCACTGTGTGATTCTTCCATTCTTTTTCTTCTGCTTCGCTGTATCCCCTCCATTCGTTTCCCACTTGTGTGCCCGTGTGCCCCATCTCAAACATGTTCAACAACCTCGTGTGGGCGAGTCTCGCGACTTCGCTGCTGGTCCAGCCTCTGAGCGCGGGCCTCATCCCGGTCCGCCGGCAGTCCACCTCCACCACCTTCAAGTCCACCGGCAACCCGATTCTCGCCGACGGCTCCGTCTACTCGGCCGACCCGGCGCCGCTCGTCGTCAATGACACCCTCTACATCCTCTCCGGCCGTGACGAGGCCGGCCCCAACGAGAACGGCTTCGTCATGAACGAATGGCAAATCTTTGAGGCCAAGAACCCCGACCCGGCCGGCGCTGACTGGACCCTCCACCGCGACGTCGCCCAGCCCAACGCATTCTTCTCCTGGGCTGCCGAGGGCACCGCCTACGCCAGCCAGATCGTCCAGGGTCCGGATGGCAAGTTCTAGTTGTACAGCCCCGTTACTCAAAAGTCCACCTCAGCCACCGACCCCTTCGCAATTGGCGTCGCCGTCTCTGACAGCCCTCTCCGTCCTCGTCGACAACGGCAGGGTCTACATCTACTTCGGTACCTTCGGCTACCTCAAGGGCTATGAGCTCGAGACCGACATGGTGACGATCAAGGACTCCGTCGTCGACATCGACTCCCTCACCGGCTTCTTCGAGGCCCCCTGGCTCATGAAGCGTAACAGCACCTACTACATGCTCTACGCCGCCAACAACGCCGGCGCAGACTCCCCCTGCACGCCCACGAGCTACCACGCCTGCCACGCCTACGGCACCGCAGACTCCCCCCACGGCCCCTGGACCTTCCAAGGCGTCTTCGTCGACATCGTCTCCTCCACCACCTCCCACCCGGGCGTCTACCAGCTCTCCAACGGCAAATGGGGCCTGGCCTACCACACCCGCGACGCCGAGGGCGGCACGCACTTCCGCCGCTCCGTCGCCATTGACAAGATCACCTGGGACGACTCGGCCTTCCCGCCGGCTATCAACAAGATGGTCCAGACCAAGCGCGCCGCTGCCGCTGCAGAGCCGACGCGCAACATCGCGCCCAAGGCTGTCACCTCGTCGGCGGGCGAGACGCCCATCCAGTACTGGATCAAGTCCATCAACGACGGCCGCGTCGAGGAGGCGCCGCTGCCGCCTGACTACTGGTTCTCGTACAACGCCGAGCAGTCCCCTGAGATGAGCACTCTCACCCTGACCTGGAACAGCACTGTTGAGATCAACGGCGTTGCACTGGCGCTGTTTGCGGACCAGGAGGCTGGCGCCAACGTCGGTGTTGCGCCGCCCAAGTCGTGGACGGTTGAGTACCAGGACGGCACTGCGTGGAAGGCAGTCTCTGCCACATCATTCCCTACGGATGTCTCGGATGCGCCCAAGGAGGTTAGCTTTACGACTGTGTCGACCAAGGCGTTGAGGGCTGTTTTGACTGCCTCTGGAAGCGGTGGACAGTTTGCTGGTGTTGCTATCAAGGAGTCCTTTGCGTATGCGCCTACTGCTGCGTAAGGTCTCCTGTGTGATGGCGTTTTCCGGACCGTTGGCAGGAGATTTGTTTCCTGTTGATATCAACCTTCTTGTTGTTCATACTTTTATAGATATGTATACAGTCTTGTGTAAGATATGTAAATAAGTCAAAACCCTAAGGTCATCTTGGACACAGTTTCACCAAAGTAAACGTTCATTGCTGCAAAGTAGCGGGACACACTCTTCATTAAAAGCCAGTTGTTGAATGTATCATGACCGGCCTGGTAGATCTAGCCGAGACCGGATCTTCCCAAGTTCCATGCTCGCCCTTAGTATTGCCAGAGACTCAAGGTCCCATCCGTAAACCGCTGCACTATTCACCTGTGCTGAGAATGAAATAGCGAACCGAAATTTCATAAAAGATTGCAGCTCGTTTCGAAATGTCTGAAGTGTCTTGAACCGCCCCGTATTGCCTCCTCTACTCATAAATTCCCACGCATAGAGCTGTGACTGACTTTTGGACGAGAAGAGTACAATGAGGAATGGGTGACATGATGTTTATCTGCACATGTGGGAATCGAGATCCGCTTACTAAGTTGCTACTCAACATGTTCCAGACTTTGCGTTGCGCTCAATGTTTCAGGAAGTACTTTATCCAGAAAACAACAACCGCCATCTTGCAAGTTATCATTCAGATAGAAGTGGGAGTGAGTCGAAGATCAGATTGGTGAGAAAGCCGATGAAAGAGCAGAAGGGAGCGGGGCCAGGTACGTGAACGACTAGGCAGATAATACGATCTTCCTGTCAAGTTGGGGTGTTGACGCAGGGTGGAAGCTCTCAGAGGCCAACTACAGTTAGGGGTAGAATGATGAATTACTGAAATCTGCTCCTCCCTCGACGTGTACTCCCTGCGCTTTATATATATCTGAGCTGCTCCTTTGTTGCTTGGACTCCTTACTACCTCTAACTAGCCCCTATCCGGGAGGGCTCTGACACTTCCCCTCAGGCTTACAGGGCAGAGAAGCTCCGCAGAATGAGAATAATCACCTCAACCGCGGTATGTACAAACTCAACTGTAAAGATAACATATGTACGGGGTATGTGATTTGCAATGACAAAGCAACTCGTCAACGACACAAATCTTGATCGGGGTCCTAAAAGGATGCGTGAATGCGGGACTAGCACTTACAAAGTTGCGGGGATGCACATCGCCAGCTGCAATGAGACCCTATTGCTCCACCCACGCAAGGGGCCTGATGCATCAGGGGTCAGTTTTTGACAGAGTCTATTTGTCGTCAGATGATCTGTCGTAAAAGAGTTGTTCTTTCCACCTAAGAAATGTCGAATCGCCCTATAAGACCTAGTGTCGGGCCATTGGCTTGGGCGTCCGGAGACCTTCGAGTTACGACAACTTCATCTCATGTGGGGAATATGATGGAGTTGAGATACTAGAACTCATTACATCTTTAGTAATTAGCTTTGAGAAGAAATTGGAACGGGGCTTGGCTGGTCCTTTTGTGCACGCACTCGTGTACCATGGTGTGTAATCAGACAGCTTCTAACAGCGATTTCACAACAACATACCTTCATAACATTGAATTATGGCTCTGGTGTTCCCAAAATCAGACCCGTCGATGGCTTTTACGAAATAATCAATCAGTTGGTGAATGCTGGTGGCTGAAAGCAACTTGTTGACCCCCGTCATGGTATTGTCGTTCTACGCATCTAGTCTCAACTGCGGCTTATAAGTCATGCTCAAAGTCTATGCTCATAATTGCAAGGCCTAGTGTTCGGGCCCTCGGGCCTCTCCCTTCAACTCCTGCCCCCAATCGATGTCTACACTCACCCCTGCGTGACATTGTACACTCTCCCCCGCAAAGATCAAAGTAAGTGGAAAGCGGATTGCTGGGTGGTTCAGAGGTCTACTCGAGAGACTGGACGATCAATGTGGATGCGGGGAAACCCACCAACGTTTTGGAAGGGAAACTGCCGGCACCCGTAACATAAGCTAGACTACTATTTGATTAGTCAACCCGCGGTATAAGAGAGTTTCTAGTTTGACTTTGCAGTTATGTGTAGGAATGCCAAGTCTCATCGCACCCAGACTGTCCGAGATATGCTCGTACGGATACACCCGCAGATCTGCGGCTGGGTATCTAGTTTCGATGCTGCATGTAAGAGTCAAGTTCGACTCGCAAAAGGGCCGTGAATTCATTTGTCACATTGCCATAAGTTATGGGGACTAGAAAGAGTTCCTGTTCATGATCATGCTTCATGTATTACCAGTAACACCATAAGTACATACATCAAGACTACTTGATATCAGACGGATAGCTTTTCTAGTTGAAGACTACATACGAACGGTACTGCAAGTCATTTCTGTAGCAACCTCAACCTTTGCGGGGCTTCCCCGAGAATCAGTCAACATACGACCCGGCCCGCAATTACCTGCCGGGGGGCGCCCGGCCACTGGTGACGGGCAATTCTCCGTGTCCAGGGTACAAGGGATCTCCGCCGCGGCGGACGTATCAGCAGCTGTCATACGCGGCCATCGAGCTGCAATGGAACGGATACAATGTCACCATCGCTGGATGCCCGGGTCTCCTTCTCCTCCTTCACCGAATGGCCGAACAATATTCCAGGGTCTTGGTATGTCTAGAGCGACTCTAGAATCGAAAGATCCATGACAATGCGTACAACGTAAGCAGAGAATGGAGTTCAGAGTATCCACTCGTTTGAGAATCACTGGTCCGTTGGTGTAACTCGTGTGCCGTTCGATCCATTTTCGGAACAACTCCGGCGGCCGCTGCAGTGAAAGCCTGCTTGCCAAAGTCCCAAACCGCGAGTCCTGGTGGAGAAGAGGAGCCTTTTCGGACTTCGTCTTTTCTGCCATTGGGACATTGGTAACACCCACTTTGAGGATCGCTGGCAAGGTGGGTTTTGTTCTCATTTTCTCTCAGAAGTCGGCTACATAAGAATCCACGCAGACCCGACGTTTTCAGCGCTAATTGACTTGCGAACTGTCGACGATGCTTGAGTTGAGTTCCAAGTAGGAAGTTTCTTGCGCGAATAATTGCTTCAATTCCAACATTTCGATCGAAAGTTAGCATCGAAAACAAATTGTGAGTAAAATCGCTTTCTCGCTGCTAAAGAAGATTTCATTCCACCGTTCCATCCCCACGTGGGGCCGATTTGTATGGGTTTTGTCCGATGGCATTTCAGCTTCGTCTCGGTTCCGAGCTGCCTGCCGTGGATCATCGAGACCGTAATCAAGAATTCGCTCGACCTCTCAACTCCACCATCGTCGTCAAAGTCGTCGAACAATACGTCAAGAGTCATTATTGCCATTTCGGGTCGAACGCACTTTTATGACGTCCGCCATGGAGCTTTTCAAATTTTCATTGTATATAACGAGCTAGCGTGAGCCGGCTAGTGTGATTACTTTTGAAAAGCCGTTACACTTTTTGTATGACGAATTTCAAACAAAATAACTTATAGGTCGACTTTGAACCGAATCACTGACACTACATCATAGTCGTCATGCCTTCCAAGGACTTTACGGTTCTGATCGCCGGCGGCGGAATAGCTGGCTTGACCCTGGCGAATCTGCTTGAGCGTGTGGGAATCAACTATCTCATCCTCGAGGGGTATCGCGAGATGGCTCCCCAAGTGGGCGCGAGTATCGGCATTCTGCCAAACGGCTCTCGCATTCTGGACCAGATTGGGCTCTACGATGACATTAGGAAACTCATCGACGAACCTCTCTTCAAGATGTCCCTTCGCGACTCCAAGGGCAACCCAACGAGTGAATACCGTGGGGTCGGCCAGCAGATCAAGCAGCGGTGAGTAGGAGCTTGGTTGAGTAATCTCAATAAACCCTTCTGACATCAGAATGTAGGCACGGATACGAAGTTGTCTTTGTGGATCGCCAAATGATTTTGGATGTATTGTGGAAGAACTTGAAGAACAAGGACAGAGTTCTTGTCAGCAAGAAGGTTACACAAGTCTCAATCGAGCCGTCCAAGGTCAAAGTCGAAACCAGTGATGGCCAGTCCTACTCTGGTGACATTTTGGTCGGTGCCGATGGCATTCACAGCAAAGTCAGAAGCGAGATGTGGCGGCTCGCGGATAGCCTGGAGCCCGGCTACATACCTGCTTCCGAAAAGAAGGGTAAGAGAGCCCAGTGCGTTCTGTTTTCCATCATAGACTGACAGAAGGGTAGAATGCCTGCCGACGGTCTATAAGTGCATCTTTGGCATCTCCATCATCAAGGACTGGGAGGATGGCATGGTGCAGACTAACTTCAACAAGCACTTCTCCTATCTCGTCATCGCCGGCCCTTCAAATAGGGTCTACTGGTTCCTCTTCGTAAACATGGGCTACACACACTACGGCCCCGAGCTCCCCAACTATACCAAGGACGACGAGGCGAAGCTGGTCAAGGAGCACCAAGAAGACAAGATCGTTGAGAACTTCACATTCAAGGACCTGTACGCTGCCAAGATCTCCTCAGTTTTGACCCCGCTGCCGGAGTACGTCTTCAAGAAATGGCACTTTAACCGCATCATGACCATTGGCGACGCTGCGCACAAGGTAAGACCGCTCTCATTGGCAAAGTGGCCATACGAGCCGACTTTTGCATGATGTTTAAGATCTGACGTGTTTCAGTTGGAACCCATTGCCGGACAAGGAGGCAACAGCGCCATCGAAACAGCCGCAGTCCTGGTAAACAACCTCACGGAAGCTCTCAAGCAGAACCCATCAGGCGTTACGACGGAGCAAATCCACAATGTCTTCCTGGAAACCCAAAAGAAGCGAGAACCGCGCGTCTGGCCCCTCGTCCACAACTCGCACAAGGAACAGCGTTTCGCCGCCATGGAAAGCCCTCTCTTGGAATTCGCCGGTCGCTACCTCGTTCCCAACCTGTCAATTGACGAAAAGGAAGGGCCCTGGAGTACAAACATCGAGCCTGGCCACAAGCTGGACTTCTTGGACGTACCCAAGAGGCCGCGTGCGCTGCCGTTTCTCGACGAGCTGCCAAGCCAGAAGGTGGATTCCTCCCTCCTTCCGAAGCTTGTGGTGGGAGCCGTTCTTGCAGGCCTCCTTTTCCTGGCACAGCAGGTTCTGATCATTGCTCCCGAGGCGGCGAGCGGTGCCAGCTTCGTGGGTCAGCCTCTGAAGACTGAGTATACCGGTAATGCCCAGATCGATTCGGTTCTCGCTGTCCTCTCCTGGGCCTTCTCCGAGGCAACTTCTGGTTCTGACCCGAACATGAGACTTCAATGCCTCTACTTCTTGATCAACCTCGTGCCCATCATTTACATCTGGACGGTCGAAGGTTACCGCAACGGCAATCAGCTATCCCTCGTATCCTGGCCTTCCCTTTTCGCAGTCTACCAGCTGGTTGGCATCGGCAACATTGCACCGCTCTACTTCCTTATCAGTCTGCACACGACCAGCAGCGAGGTCTATACCCGTCCCACAGGCCGGCCGATCCCGTCAACCGTCGCAAAGGCGCTGATTCCGGCCCTGTGCCTCGGATACATCCTCCCCACCGCCCTCATGTTCATCCAGTACGGTGACTCTGTCGCTCAGCAGAACGCCATCGCCTTCTGGCAGCCTTCCCCGGTCTACGTCTCGATTCTCACCTGGCTCTTCTCTGGCATCATTTCGGTCGCCTCGCCCATCAAGTCACTGGACTGGGAGATCTTTGAAAAGAAGGACCAGGGCGCTCTGCAAACCGGCTACACGCTCGCGTTCGCCGTCGCCGCCATCACGCACGTCTGCGCTCTCGCCTACGCCGGCTTGAGCCCCTCTGTGTCTCTCTTTGAGACCTTTTTCGACCTACCAAGTGTTGCGTCCATGGGCTTGGGCCTTGACATTGGCGGATTCTGGAAATATGACATGCTTCTTTGTTTCGGCGCTGTTGCGGTCTGGTGTCTGTACACCGTCTATGAGCTCCGTCGGCTGGGATACGTAACAACAAAGGCCGCGATCGGGGCTGCGGCGGCCACTTTGATTGGACAGGTACTGGTCGGCCCTACAGCGACCTATGCCGGACTTTGGGCGTGGAGGGAGAACGTCATTACAGGATTGATGATCGAGTAAGATCTCCCTTCGAACGAGGCCCGAATGTCATCAACGGCGATCGCTGTCACAAGCTGCCAAGATTGAGTCGTTCAATGGACAATTTAGGTCTTTGAGCACCACAATCATTGTGTACTCTGCGTCAAGATCCGAGACCGACGTTCTCAACCTGAACACGATATCAACTCGTAATGTCGCTTCTATCAAGGATCAATTATGCTTATTGTGGAAGCTGGTCTTCTAGTTGTGCGGATCAACAACTGATTTGCCGGAAGTGTGGCAGATGATGATGATGATGGGGTAGGCGGCCGTTGAGGACAGGGATACCGGCATTGGCAACTGTAAATAGATGCATGAACCGAGTCAATTAGCCAATTGCCTTCAGAGCTAAGTGGGCATGCAAGCAATACGAGGAAAGTGGATACAAGTTGATTTCCTAGATTGCCGTGCTCAGCCAAGAAAATCGACAAGCGGAATTTTGAAATTAAAAGCTGGAAGCGCCGTATCGTGTCGAGTTTATGAGACTTGAAACGGTTCTCAGCAGCGCGGACAACATCATCGACAAGACACAGTGCCAGTTTCGCCATGATGAAAGGATTCATCCTCGGACTCGCCTCGCTGGGGCTCGCCAGCGCCGTTCCTAACGCCGACCAGGCGGCTGTACCGTTCCGCCGGGGCTGTCAAGTCTCGGACGACGGCGCCGTTCAAGCCCGGGATGATGCCGCCATCCACTTCACTGGCAGGACAACGACAGCCCGTCGCCAGACATACCCCGGAAACTTCACCGTCGACGTGAACTTTCACATTGCCAGTACCGAAGCCGAGGCAGACCTCATTACCGACGCCATCGTCGATGCCCAGTGGAAAATCTTGCACGACAGCTTCGCAAAATACAGCATCAACCTCGTTCTCAACTCCACTGAGCGCGTCGTCGATAACCTCACAGGCTCCGCGTTCCTCATCAACGAAGGCGGCTCCTCCGGTTGGGTCTACCATGAGGCCGAGTACAACGCTTACCTCAAGGCTTCCCGCAAGGGTGGCTACGATGCCCTCAACCTGTACTTCTTCAGTAGTTACTCCCCCGGTGCCACGGGATACTGCCAATTCCCCACTGTCATTCCCGCAGAAGGCACCGACAGCTTGACCTTTGCCAAGGACTCGTGCCAGCTCAGCGCCATGACGATGCCGGGTTTCACTGTCGATCAGGGCGGCTTTGAAAGCTGGAATCTCGGTCACCTTGCCGTTCACGAGGCTGGTCACTGGTTTGGTCTGAACCATACCTTTGCTGGTGGATGTTCTGACACGGCGGGCGACTTCGTTGCGGATACACCGGCACAGAGAACTGAGGTGTACGGGTGCCCTGCTGATTCGGATACGTGCCCGGATCTGCCGGGTCTGGATCCTGTTTACAACTTCATGGGCTACGCTGATGATTCTTGGTAAGTCGGCTGTTCGGACTTAGCTTTTCGAGTTATCTTACTGGCCAAACCTCTAGTACCAACGAATTCACTCCGGTGCAAAAGGAACGCATGTTCTCAACCTTCTTCGGATGGCGAAGGAAATAGACGAATGCTGCAGACACCTTAATCCATAATTATGACGAATTTTACTCAGCAAGTTCTCGGAAATAAGCAAATTCAAGTCATTGAATTATCAAGACCCCAATGCGATTTGATTTGTATCGTTACATGCCCACCCTGAACTGTTCGCAGATGTTGCAAAGTATGAGATTGTGTAGTCTGGGCTAAGGATGATAATTAACAACCTCAGACGTATAATCGACCTAGGTGTCTAGTATGCGGCGATCTTGAACATCCTTCTGCCTTTTAAAAGTTTCCGATCCTTCCAAGACGTGATTGATTGGGCTTGTACCGCCCCTTGGGTTCTTTCTTGCGGTGTCCGAGCGAGACGAAGCACATCTTGACAGTAAACTGAGGTGTACCGTGTACGGGGTTGAATGCTTGTTCTGAGCTTTGGGAGGCAGATGAATATGATTTCTTGGGAGAATTGGTAGGGTTGCAGTGAGTATGTTCTTTCTAATTGTCATCAAGCGTTCCAATTTTTGGGCAAGGTAACTCGATAGTACTTTTATATGCGCAAAACCCTAGCATGTGATGATTCACAGACCCGCGCCATAGGTAAGTGGGTTTTGGAGTTTAGAGGGCCGGACGTGAATCACGTTGGTGGTGGTGCTGCTGCTATTCTCATTGACGCTGATGCAGTACTTGTAATAACACGAGTGGTGAATGGAACTATTGTAACGGAGACTGGTGTAACAAATAGTGGCGTACCGCATCAACATCCTCATCTTCCACTGGTACCTAACTGTTGGTATCCCTATCACAGGGAAGTTGGTTTGAACCGTAGGGTCTTGGGGGCGACGAAGTATCAATATCTCTGTATTGATTGATTCTGCGTAAGGAGTAGAAGCGAGATTCCAACCGGAGGTTGGGTGGACCGTCGAGGTGTAATTGTACCCTCTCGAGTGTTACGACCCAACATGCATAACAAGGCCAAGGGGGCCCGCCCCGCAGGCCTGCGGCGGCTATCTACCAGATATATGCAGAAAACCCGGGAACTCAGGTGACTCCTTACGGAACGGAAGAACTATAGACAAGTTACGTGATAATAAGAAGGACCGATAGGATAAAGGCAGTCCACCCTTAAAGGACCGACACGGTAATATCGGTCCTAACATAAAGGGTATATTCAGACAGGATCAGGACTTATATAGGATGGACTCGAGCCGGGCTCTAGGATAGACTTCCCATAGCTTCTTTAGCAATTAACTTCGTATCAGATCTTACGATCCCTTTCAGTTATCTTCCCTGAGAACCTCTTGACCAGACTACGATTGATCACCGAAGCCTACCCTACCTTACGACTTACAGACATAGCTTTATCAAAGCTATCCCCGACTACGAATACTGTTATCAGTTCCGCAGCCTCAACTTCTGCAAACATACCTCACTACGACTAACTGGCCGTAACAACTAGACCTTTAAGAAAGAGAGCTAATATTACGACCCAATATATATAACTAAGTCTAGGCCTACCCCGCAAGGTACGGTAGCTATAACGTACTATATATATAGATAAAATAAGAACACCAGTAACCCTCTGTATGGGGCTGGCCCCCAGGCTTGTTCAACGTAGAGGTGCCGTCGATTGACTATTCTAAGCTGAGGAGGAAAAGGAGGAATTACAAGGGTTCGCGTACAGCTATGGCATGATATGCCCGGACTCGGCGGTGTACTGCGGCAGAATGGTGGCTCCGGCAAAGCCGGACATCTCGACCGGCTCCGGCCTGCAGCATAACCGAATGTAATAATCCAATGTAATACTCGGTTATTACAGGTCGCGGTCGGACAGCTTCCCAGCAGAGGGGTGTACGTGCGGCTCCGGCAAGGCCGGAGATCTCAACCGGGCTCCAGCCCGTGACACCCTCTACGGAACAGAAGAACTATAATATAAGTTACGTAATAATAAGATAAAGATTATTTGGGGTTAATATAATCTAATACGATTTAGGGGCTAAACGATCATTCTAGATCAGAATAATCTAGGGCGACCTAAGGGATAAAGGATATGTTTAGGATTAGGACTTGTATATAGGATGGACTCGAGCCGGGCTCTAGGACAGACTTCCCATAGCTTCTGCAGCAATTAACTTCGTATTAGGATTAATATCCGCTTTCAGCTATCACCTTAACAAGACTACGATTGATCACCGAAGCCTTACCTTACCTTACGATTGATAGACATAGCTTCTAGGAAGCTATCCAGACTTACGACACTGTTACTGATTATCGCAGCCTCAACTTCTGCAAACATACCCCTAACTTACAACTAGCTGGCCGTAACATATAGACGTAAATCGCGGGCTGCGGAAAATACATTCGCTTATTATACGGGCTAACCGCGGTTAATATACTTAACAAACCTAAATTTACGGTCTTATTGCAAGGAAGTCGGTATAAATAAAGGGTCCTTTGTCGGTCGTCGGACGCTCGAGGCGTCTGGCCGGTCGACCGTCGAAGGCGTTGCTGACGTGATGGACGCCTCCTCTCGTGAGATTCGAGAGGTCAAGGGAGCACGATTCCTCTATCCTGTTCGGTATTAGAGAGTCGTCTCTTCTGCTTTCGCAAGATGCCTTACTGATCTACAATAGTGGAATTTAACCACTGATCAGTGTTAGTATCCCTATCACAGGGAAGCTGGTTCGAACCGTAGGGTCCTAGGGGTGACGAAGTATCAATATCTCTGTATTGATTGATTCTGCATAAGGAGTAGAAGGGAGATTCCAACCGGAGGTTGGGTGGACCGTCGAGGTGTAATTGTACCCTCTCGAGGTGGCCCCTGCTCTACCCTTACTCACGGTCGAATTGGGCTTCCAATTCGACAATATGGTCTTTAAAACTTTATTTCGAGCAGCCGGATGTCTTGGGGTTGGGGACGTGGTCGGAGAAGGAGTTGATTTCGGTCGAGCTGGCGTTATGATCACTTCGGTCAAGAACTTGGCATCAGGGTAATTGAGCGTTGTGGTTTGGCCTGTAATTTATTGACAGACGTTTACTGTGGTTCATTGTAGTGAAATGCCTCTGAAGGCGTGCATAATTCACCGTTCAAATTGACTGTGAGAAACTCGGTCATTAACCCGATCAACCATGATTTTCCTGCATTGAGAACTGTCCGAATTGTGTTGCTGATTCACGACTTGCGCTTGTTTCAATCTTTACTACGCCGTTCCATCCACCCAAAGTAACTTAAAGCGCCATAGACAGGAGTGTGATTCATGGACTGGCTTGTGATGGTATATATGCTTTCTTATCACGCGTCCTGTGATCTCGGAACTTCTTCATCCACCAAGAACACCAAGACACTCAATTAATCAGCCTCACTTTCGTAGACTCCGTTCTTGACGCTGCTCGAATCAACTTCTCCAAGCTTAACCATACATGACGCTTAAACCTCACGCTCAACGATCTCATTACATCTAATATACCAAATAACAAGACTCCTTAGTTCTCAATTTCTACCGTCATCATGTGTTTTGGTTCAGGTGATGAACCTCGACGAGAACGTCACCGCCTTGAGCGACGATCTGCCCGGTGGGCTAGAGAAGATCAAGCGCAACGTGACAGATTCAACACTCTCTGGTACTCTTAGGGGGTGGATGAAGGACTAGGCCAGATGGGAAATTCCGCGCGACTTATTGATGGTTCAATAGAAGACGAAGGAGAGTAGGAGCACAGGAGACTAGGTTTAGGCTTCAATGTTCTGAAGGACAAGGTCCTTGGCCCATTGCAGGGTCTCCCAGTCAGTTGCTTCAATACAATGGCATTAATCTTCACAGTTCAAAAAAGAAACATAGAGAGAACCACCCCCGGGCTTACTACTTGATAACGGGTGGCACTCTGCTGGTGTCTTGCGGAGCGATTGGGGTGTAGTCTTTGATTCACAGATTTGGAGTGCTACTACGCGGTGGTTTTTTTCCAGCTTTACAGGCGCAAAAAATCGACCTCAACGGGATCAGCTTTCAAGGGTGTTGGGCAGCGATTATCAGGTAGGGGGTCAATGGGATGTATTGATGAGTATGAAGAACGAGTGGCTATGGGAATATCCCGACTATCTATATAGTGAGTGGAAGACCCTTTATACTGGCATATCCTTGGCAAACTTAGTCATGCTTGTATAAGACCATATTGTTTCATAGGCATAGTGTGACAATCGTTGTAACGAGTGTACTGGGATGGGCCTGACAAAGGGAAATCACACAATACGGTACGCAATTTAACTATACTGTTGGTATCACAGGCGTGATACATTTCCTCATGAGGGTGTATCTTCGGCAACAATCACGTCGATGTCCGTGATAATTGCTGTTGTTGTTCTTCTTCCTATTTACATTGTGGGCAGGGGCCGATCGAAGTAGGTGGTGACGGCCTGGGTGGTTGCCCCACCTTAACCGGCCGTGGTGACTAAGCCAGTTGTCCCACTTCGCCCAGGGCAGGCGCCAGCCAGCCCACGATACCTGCCCATTGCTCCTTATCAGCCTTGCTGTTCCGACATATACAATATGCGCAATGTGCCCCAGGCACGCGCTCAACTCGATATAGTGATTTGAATACAAAAGGCACGATGCAATACGGGATTGTTGGAGTGCTACTATATGAGGAAGCTTACGTCTCGGTACTATCCCATCGAGTGCTGCAAGGCGACAGTACATTGAGATGCGGGGGAGCAGCCAATCGGGCCACTTCGGGCCCCTTTTTCCAACCAACCAACGTAATTGATAATAGATACTTCCAATTATTAGAGATTCTGCGTATGAAATCGGTACCAGCAATCTTCTGAGTTACAGAGAGCTACATCGCACTCGAGGCAGTTTGGTGGATGTACCGTAGTAGAAATCATAGGGGCAACTCAAGCAGTGGATGTACCAGATGCGGTGCGGGGTAAAAGAGGGCCCCTTATGTGGAGCCAATGTACTGTCGCCTTGCAGCACTCGATGGGATAATGTTTGTCACGAAACAGGAATAGCATCAGCACTCTGTAATCAGCCCACCACGTGCGTTATCACGTGATTCTCTCATTTGTTCCTATCCCATCGACTGCGAGTGGGCGTCAGTACAATTGCCCCATTTCTATGCTCCACTTCTGCCCCTCACAAAAGGGGTACATGTGCAGTACGTCACTTGGCCGCCGTTTTCATTCCCATACTTCCACAGCGATGGGGCGAGCCAGACTGGCAGCAGTTGAAGAGTCAGTATCAATGGCGAAGGGAAGTATCTACCCAGCTTATTCAGCACTTCGGGCCATTAGTAAAGGCGCGCTAGCGTCCCCGGCTCAACGGGCAACAGACAAGCGGAACAATATTATTCCCTAGCAGTAGCATATTAGGAAGAAGTAAGGAAGCTGCTCGCCGTGCTCTGCTTGTAGTAGTCGCCCTAGAGTAAGGTAGGCTCTGCGCGAGATCTCTAGGAATAGTAGTAGAAGGAAGTACTCGAGGTCAGGATGCCAGGAATGCAATGTGTCTCTATGTAACTTAGATGTTTACTGGTACAACTTCTATAACCAAACTCTCTAATGAATCGAAGTACCTCCGAACGAGCTTTTTTGGTTGGCTAAGATTTTGCTTGGCAGAGCTTTGATTGGCTATACTCCGCACTGGAGATGTACTGACGCCCACTCGCAGTCGATGGGATATAGCACCTTTCCTTGCTCGATTCTATTTCGGTTAATACAAGCCACTTTTACCACACTTCATATGCCCATTGCTGCGTGCCATAACTCGTGACAATGTTTACTCGGATCTGATGAGATAAGTGACCGGTTTAAAGTGTTTCAGAATCCTGGCATAATAGCTCATTGACCTTGCGATAGATATGGGCCTGAAGATCTTGTCGGCGGGTAGGGAAAACAAATGAACGTCGCGAGCTGAGGAATCACGGCAATTGACCTGCAATGAGAAACCTTACGAAGCTTCATCCCGAAATGTTCTTAACTTGTCAATTGTTGTCACTATTGAACGACGATTCTTAGTTGTGGCTCCAACTTGTTGGTTCATCCAATCTGGGCCTAGTCAATCAATGTGTTGGGTCAAGACCCAATGGGTTGGGTTGTAGTTGCAAACTGTCCTGCCAGCAGCCAGCTTAGCTAGTTTCGTAGAAAGCCCGAACCATGTTCTCGAAAATTTTAGAATCTTAGGCCTGTAAAAAGCTAGAATGTCAAGCCATCTCATTCTTTACATGTGAGTTCGCCTAGACTTTAGGGATATCTGTCATAAAGCTCGGACGACTCGACAAAGTGGGAGACGCAAATTAGCGGGCAAGGACAAAACAGGGCATGCCACGTTTAGACCACAAACACATGTAGCAGCATCCGCAGGTCTCCGCTGACAGACAGACAAACAAGCATTCGATCAACGTTTCGCAAAATCGTTTTTTTTTTCTTCTTTTCCATGGCCAAACCTTTCAGTAGACCATATCAAAACTGGCCCTGTTGTGCTCTTGTCTAATCATGATGGGAATACCGTATGCTAAAAACATCTGAACATGAGATGTTCAGGGCAACACCAGTGGGGACCCTTGCGCGGGGTGCTTTTGCAGAGGGGAGCTTCTTAGGCCCAAAACAATCGCCGCCCGGCAATCTGAATGGCCTAGAGGGAAACAACCTGGAACGGTCTAACGACAATCCTGGGTTGACCCTACCTGAGACGCTTAAGTAAGGACGTTTTTCCCCGGGCGGTCACAAAAACTTCACCAACTTCACCTCACCCCTCCAATCTCACCCCCAACTCACAAACGTCGCCGCATTGCTCATCCATCAACACGACAGTTAATAGCAGATATTTCCGAGAGCGTGACGGATTAAGGGGAACTTGTCGCGACAGATTTAGCGGAAAATGGACGAAACGGAGGATTTATCGCCATACATGCAGCAACTGGAGCTTTTCCGCCGCAGTGATTTCACTCGTGATCAGATGATCCAGGTAAGATTGAGCTCCCCGACGATGCCATCGCTCGCGACTGCCTGATGAGGGAAAAGGCAGCGGCTATTGATATTGTCTTTCGAATGCTATGGTCGCATGGACTGACTTGGATTGTCTAGGATCTACTTACTCGCCACGGCCAGCTTCAGCAAGCCTACCGCGAAAAGTGCGATGATTACAATAATGAGCGCGAATCGCGCCGGATGTGGCAAACCAAAGCCAATAATCTGGGAAAGGACGTAGTTGCTCTTAACAAGTCGAATGTGAGTCTGCTGCTTTTCCAATTCGTGGCTCATCGAACCCATCGACAAGACCTCGGCGCAGAGATGGAGGCCTCAATTCAAGACCAGTATGGGAAGGGGCTGACTTGTAAGACAGGATTCTAATCCATTTGTCTTTGTCATAATTGACGGCGACGGTGCCGTCTTTCAAGAATCCTTACTGAGAAGGGGTGCTGAAGGAGGTGCCGAAGCCGGCTATCTCCTGTCGACAGAGATAAAGAATTATGTTACCGAGGCCTACCCCGAGGCTGCCAGCGAAGACTGGAACATAATCGTACAAGTAGTCCTCAACATGGACGGCCTCGCAAAGAAGCTCCATGCCTCTGGTATCATCCCCTTCACCACTTCAGAGCGAACCCTCATAGAGTTCGGTCGCGGCTTTGGCCGCGCACAGCCTCTATTTAGCTTCATCGACGTCGGCTCAGGCAAGGAGTCGGCTGACCACAAGATCCGCGAGATGCTTCGTATCATGGTCCGCATCGGCCAGTGCAAGCACATCTTCTTTGGCCCTTGCCATGATAACGGATACCTCCCGGTCCTCGAGCCGTACAAGCTAGACGATAAGGTGGCTTCAAAGTTCACCCTCATCGAGACGACACCCGCCGAGGAGGGCTTTAAACAGCTCAAGTTTCACAGAATTATCTTTAACTCTGTCTTTATGTCGGAAAAGCTTCCTGACAGAGTCCAACGACCGGGCATAAGCATGCTTCCCCCTCCCCTCTCCTCTGCACCAACCGTCACCACCCCCGGAGCCACTATGCCGCCCACCGGTCCGACCCACACCAACTCCGCCAACAACGGCGCTCCCCCAGGACCGACCGAGCCATCTCGCGTCACCAGCCCGCTCTCCAGCGGCTCGCAGACGCCCGCGTCTTCTTGGACTACTACACTGACGCGAGTCTCAACGGCGCCCAAACCCATCGACATCTTTACCACAAAGAAGACGCCACAACCGAAATACTACCTGATGAACGCCGACAGCCAGCGCATCGACGAGCCACTGCCAAAGCTCGACTTCGTGGTAGAGAAGAGGTTCAACGCCCGCATGGCGGAGACGGGCAAGAAGTTTTGCAACAATTACTACCTCCAGGACGAGTGCAAGAATCCAATCTGTCCTTACATTCACGGCGATAAGCTTAGCGCCAGCGAGATGGTACTATTGAAGCAAAAGGTAAAGTTTCTCGGCGTTTTTGTCTCTCGGCATCCGGCTAACTTGTGATGTAGGCTCGCGGCATCCCCTGCAGTCTGGGCTCCGAATGCGACGACATAAACTGTACACTCGGCCACCACTGCAGATGGCTTAAGGACTGCAACCATAGCTACTGCCGCTTCCAGGGCTACCACGACATCAACCCCAAGCCGAGAGTCAAGTGCTTTGAGGACGGCAGTATGAAGATTATTGATAAGCTCTAAGATATTTATCGCTCATCCATCGTTCACCTACCTAAAGAAGGAAAAAGCAAAAAGAGGTGTTAACTACTGAAGTTTATTGCTTCAGCACCGCGGGAATCGGATCTGAATACACTGGGGATAGGAGGTCTTCTACTTGAAGCAGGGAAGATCGCGACTTGAAGTGGGACGATCGAGGATAAGAAGGCAGCGGGTATGTGAGGAAGAACTAACTCGCTCTTTACCTTTACTCACGTCAAGCAGCATCGACGTAGCAAACCATTCAAGCCCAGAGAACCAGCAATTGAAGATGCGGGACATCCATCATTCTCGTAACCTCCCGTCTCTTCACAGCAGATTCCCGAATAGAAATTCGTAGCCTACCACGTGCAATTCGAACCAAAAGGAGAGAGGGGATTGGGGGATGGGTGATGACTGACCTTGGAACTCACGCATCTGTCCGGGATCGAACAGCGCGCCCCTCAGCCATGAGCCAGCCCCTACTCTGGCTTCATGGGAGTATTTGTTCTTTTTGCCACTTGACCATCTCGCACACAGCTTGACCTGATCCGCCGACCTAGACAGACGCTGCTGTGCTGGTGACTGAACAAGAGTTTGGATGGGTATATGTAACCTTGGCCCTACTTCGTAAGGTAAGGTCGAAAAAGGGAGGTGGGAAGGAACAAGACAGGTCCCGGTTATGCAGCGCTTACTCTGCAAACATTGAGTACCTTAGTCCAGGAAGGATATGTGGTTAATGCTAGGCTACACGATGAACAGGTAGCGCCGGTGCTCAGTGTTCCAAGCCAGGAACCCCCCATATGCCCAACCTTGAAAGAAAACATGTCGCAAAAACGACGCCGTTAATTACGGGCAGCAATTAACGCCATATATACCCTAAGACAAAACAAAACACAAGGACTCGTCCAAATTGTTGCCTAAAATGCAGCGACCGTATTTCAATCGAATGCCCAGGCTCGGTGTACGGCCGCGTACCACAAAACCCCCTCTTTCCCAAGTCTCATGCTGATTCGTTGAGAGCGAGCTCTTAGAGGAGAAACATACATGTACCTAGTAGCTAGGTTTCTGCAGCTTACACCTTAGCCCTGTACTTCTACCTGACGCGCATGTCAGCAAACATCCTGCGTGACTACTTCTCTGGATAAGTACTCAAGTGGACGTGACCGTATTCCATTGTTTCTAGATTTAAGACACCAACCCGATCTAGGAGCATGGAAGAATAGGAGCGCAGATGATTCTTGTCTTGGTTAAGATTGAGAACATGTTTGCTTTTTGTCTATTCTCTCTACCTACTCCCATGTGACAGTAATGGCGACCGTTGGATCAGACACTGGGTCCTTGTGTAAATTCTCCCGTCAATAGTAAACTGCGGCTCCAAAGGTAGGGATGAGTACAGCTCGCCAGTTTCTGTCTTCTTCCCTTGGAACGCCTCAATGAAAAACCACAACTTCTACACAGAACAAGACTTCCTTGTCAAGTAGAAAGACAGCAGTCATTCATGTCATTCTAAGTAGACGAACTGCCTCCCTCAATTGCGTGCACTGTTATCATCGAATTTCGAAGCCTTTCTCATGCGTTCTCGAATTGATTAAGGAGTCACAGGTACCTGGCCTGAAATTCTGCACTTGTTAACCCGGCTCTTTCAGAAATACAGAGACTATATGATGCATAAACAGGCTTTCTGCCCTGCGAGCTTCTCATCTTATCGATGTCGTAACATTTGCTTGTAATGTGCTGAGAAGACTCATGATAGACTTGCATTAGCTTCAACTTGTATGCTCAATCCATCTACAAGGATCTTGGCAGATGCAAGACCGGCTCAAGTTCATGTTCGCCCTAGAGAATACAACGGCCTTACCAAACAACAGGACTGTGTTCCGCGTGAGAGTAATCAACCGACTGAAAGATCTCATTCTCATAACCAAACAGTATAATCTCATGGTGGTTGGTATTAGTTTGACACAGTACGCTAGAGTTTTGCGCAGAAGCTCGGGAGAAGCCCACCATCTCCGCCTAAACAAGACTAGAAGATGACTAAACACAACACAAGAGCGAGCCTGCTTCCAGCTCCTAGTGCCGTACCCGATGGATGGAACCAACGTAGCCTCCCGCTTCCTGAGACTCAGACCTTCGAAGTCTTCCGGGCCGGTGGAGATAAAGCGCACTTCCCATTGGATATCGGAACGCATCTGGGGGACCTGGCGGGAGATCTCTTGGCGGACAGCTGCCGCAAAACTGGAAATACTGCCGTCAGACCATGGTCCTTGATGAGTCCAGAACTCCATTCTTTTGTCAGTCTTTGAAGGGACGGTTCGGATTCATTCGGAGCATGAGATCGGACGCCTCTTAGACGTCATGTCGTTCGGAGCTCTCGGGATGGACGGAGTATGCCTCAAGGTGAGTTGTCAACATCGCCGCGAGGATGAAAGATCCCATTTCGTATAAGAATCAGTCGACGATGCTTCTGTCCAAGATATTCTTTATCTGGCTCAGCACAACGCAAGCATCACATCAAGATATCTCTTACAAGAACTCGATAACTCTCCTACACCAAATTCACCCAACACCACCAATCTCTAACCATCAAAATGCTCGGCAAGATCGCCCTCGAAGAAGCCTACGAAATGACAGGCATGGAAGCCAAGTCAGAGTACGAAGCCTCCCTCTACATCAACCCCTCCGACCGCTCCCGCTATATGCGCCAAATCAGCGACCTCAACTCGGAGCGCGTCAAGCTCGCCGACGCCCACGGCATCGGCTACACCATCGTCTCCCTCACCGTCCCCGGGATCCAAGGCATCGCCGACCAACCCGCCGCCGAACGCCGCGCCACAGAGGTCAACAACTGGGCCCATTCCCAAATCAAACACAACCCCTCCAAGCTCGGCGCCTTCGCCTGCCTCTCGATGCACGACCCCGTCCAAGCAGGCCGCGAACTCACCCGCTGCGTCAAAGACCTCGGCTTCCACGGCGCCCTGCTATGCGACTTCCAGCACGCGGGCGCCAACGGCGAGATCTACAAGTTCTACGATCAGCCCGAGTACGACGCCTTCTGGGAGGTCGTCTGCGCGCTCGACGTGCCCGTATACATCCACCCAGCCGCCCCCGCGAACGTCATCCTCGAGAAACTCTACGCGCAGCGGAAATACCTCATCGGCCCGCCCCTCTCCTTTGCAAACGGCGTGAACCTCCACCTCATGGGCCTCATCTCCAACGGCGTCTTCGACCGCTTCCCGAAGCTGCAGGTCATTGTCGGCCACCTGGGCGAGCACCTCCCCATCGACCTGTGGCGCATCAACCACTGGTTCGAGGACGTCAAGAAACCGATTGCGGAGGCTGAAGGCAACGCGGACCGCATGTGTAGGAAGACCGTGTACGACTATTTCCGGGAGAATATCTACGTCACGACGTCGGGCAACTTTTCTACGCGCGCGTTGAAGTATGTGGTGGACGAGATCGGGGCCGACCGCGTGCTGTTCTCGGTGGATTACCCGTACGAGACGATTGAGATGTGCTCTGCTTGGTGGGACGGCCAGGTGGAGGAGGTGAAGGAGGCGGTGGGCGGCGTTGAGAATTATCGCAAGATTGGGCGGGATAATGCCAAGAAGCTGCTCAAGCTGGGCGAGTTCCATGACTCTGAGGCTCCTGTGTCTTGAGAGGGGGTTGTGTTAGTGTCATGATAGTAGCTTAAATAGCCCCTATTGGAGATTCAGTTCATCCCAATCCCTCAGCTATTCCATTGACGTCCTTGTCAGCTACCATGGATGACGGTTGAGGCGTAGAATCTCAATCCACCCCCAGCGGTTTCCATTCGAATGTGCCCTTGAATTTGGATCTAAGACTCTCGTGCCTTACTGGAACCCATGACCTGAGTGGAGTGTCAGCTCAATTATCTTCCGTCTATCTTCTGTCAGCTAACAGAGGACAGTAATCTTGTGTATTATGCTCGTAAGTTATGGGATGATGGAATTGGAAGACGGAGGGGGCTTATTGGAATCGATTGAGGCTCTATGATCGTTGCGTTTATTGAAAGATTCCCCAGTTTGTTAGATCTATCCCCTGAATGTTGAACCAGCTTTCATTAAGCAAATCGGAGCCTGCAAAATCGCCAAAGTCCTGCGCCAGGGACGTCTGGTTCATACCAGGCACAGAGCCAAACGGGAGTAAGACTTCCTGCTCGCTTCCTTGCTCAAGTCGCGGATCTTAAGTTTCTGCCATTCAAGAACACCAAAAATGGGTTAGCTTTCTGTTTCCTGTTCAGTCTACCAAATTTCAATAATCATTGGCAAAAGCCGACTCCCTTTCTTGCTCTTTGTGTGTGTATCTCTTCCTCTTACCGTTGGTGTTAGGGGCCCCGCTGGCCGCGTCCCGCTGCGAAACGGCGGCCACGACGGATGCGCGAAACTATTCCAAGACTTCGATGCCCCGGCTGGCGGAAGTGACGTGCTGCTTGTGAAAATCAAAGATGCGCAAATCTCGATCCCACGACGATTTCGTCGGCTCTGTTTCGAAGCTGACTTGGAGATCGGGGCACAGGGTGGCGACTACCAGAGTGGAAGCTGCGGCAAAGGTGACTGTGATATAAGAGTAAACAAAGAGTTAGCCCGAGCCGACAAACATGAACTCAAGAATGGGGTGCAAGAGGAAAGATACAAGGGTGCAGAATGGGACAAAGATGAAAGTATTACGTACAGAGTAGAACATGCCAGGCCGAGTTCTGTCTTACGCTGCGCAGCTTCTCGTAAAGCTCCTGTAGCACGCTGTGAGCAGTCAAAGCGCAGAGCGAATTGGCCGAATGTCCTAGGCTGTCACGGAGTGTCTGCGTGGTGTCCGTTGCGAATGGTTTCTCTAGTCGGCTGCCGTGCTTGGCTTCGGCTAAGAGTAGCGGGCGGAGGAGAAGAAGCCGGATCCATAAGACTCTGATTGACACAGCCATAAGTCGGATTTTCTCCACGAGAAGGACAAAAGTGAGAGAATCGGGAGAAAGATCTCCTTACCTGGACTTGAGGATGTTTGCCTGCATCTGTAGACAGCTCGTAGCTCTTCGTCTAGCTGCGTCAAGTCCGGAGGTGCAGGGCGTTGACAGCGACAAGCTAATTGTCAGGCCCATCCCAGTACACTCGTTACAACGATTGTCACACCATGCCTATGAAACAATATGGTCTTACACAAGCATGACTAAGTTTGCCAAGGATATGCCAGTATAAAGGGTCTTCCACTCACTATATAGATAGTCGGGATATTCCCATAGCCACTCGTTCTTCATACTCATCAATACATCCCATTGACCCCCTACCTGATAATCGCTGCCCAACACTAATCTACACTCTCAATCGTCATTTCAAGCAAATGACCGCCCTTATCCACAGTTACCCTAGACGGAATATGGCCTCGCCCGCGATCAATGGGTGGCTCGGCGATCCGGGCGATCCGGGCGAAATCGACCTTACCGAACGATTCGATCTTGTCAATAAGATCCGAAGTACACTGCTGGGTCATCTGATGGTCAAAAAGGACAAAGACATGACCAAAACCTTCGGTTCAGAGGAGGCATGGGGCCACCTTATGGTTGCCGGTTTGCCGGAACTTCGAGAATTCGCGTCACAAGTGGATAATGAAAAGAGCTTATCCTTCTTTCTCCCTAACTTCTCAGTCGGCTTCGAAACGATGAATCGGCTTGTGTGGTACTGTGAGTATAACTGTTTTGATACTATTAACCCATCTCATCTCACGGTCGTCAATCCATCTCACATATCTTGCGCGCACTGGCTAACTTGATATTAATTGCTAGTTTTGGGCCCACCCATGGAACGGGAGAAGGTCAAGGCCAATGTAATCTTAAGCAGTAATGCTGCGAGAACGGCCGTATGTCAGCCCTGCTTCTGTCGACGAGAGTTTTGCACTTGACTAATAACTGATGCGTGTTAGACTGCCTCTAGAGACCTTCACATTTGCCCATTCTGTCTCAGTAACCATGACCAGAAATGTCACATCGCCCCTTTCTGGACTTTGAACCGACCGGGATCGGCGAAACCAATCACTGCTGCCATGACAGTGTACGGCAACGAGCGCATGGCAAGGCTCAAGGAGAAGCTTGTCGACCGGGATACCAACATTGTCGGTACTTCAGCCAACATTATCACGTTGAGTTCGTCTCTACACACGTACTGGAGCGAGGGCCTTTTCGGCTTGCAGCCCGTCTGTCTCCTCTACGACGAAGCAAGAAGACAAAGCCCGACATTTCGAATCACACATTGTGTTCGATTCTTGCCAAGTATACGGAGCTTGCCAATACTTCCGACCAGAAGAGTGGCGCGCCGCGTCCCTCGACGTCTACGAGGATACGCACAAAGAGATCAAGTGAAGGCATGAAGGATTCGCCCTCCAAGAAGACCAGGGGGGCAAGGGCAAGGGCAAGGAGAAGGTGAACGAGCACTCGCAGAACATCGAGCCAACGGAGGAGGCTGAAGAGCCTGCCAATGAGCCCATTGGTCTTCGGGTTTGCTTACATTGGTTGCTTGCAACTGCGCATTTGACACCGGACACGATTCCCCGAAACCTCACTGAGCTACGTCGCACCTGGAGCCCCTGGAACCGTAGAAACGCCATCAATGGTATCAAAGCCCGATTCCTCGAAAACCATACCGTGATCGACATATTCAACACGAAAGACGCGGAAGCACCGGATTTCGACATTGTTTCATTTCAATGGGACGTCTTCAGAATGCACGCGTTGGCTGGTGATGCAGACCCCGCCATCTATTCACCAGACTTTTACGAGGATCCAGATGACAAGATCATCAATGAAGCACCGCCTGAGAAGGTACAGGCTCTTCAAGATCGCAAAGCTCGGCAGGGTCGGATAATCCAGGAGGCTGAAGAGGTCGAAGAGACTGCGAGGCTTCGGATGACGCAAGGGGATCGAGCAGCGTTGGAGGCTTAGGAAGACATCGTGGCTTCATATGATCTTCAAGGCCCTGATCCATCTGCCACCGTTTCTTCACCTGATTCTCAAGCCTTCGACCCACCTGTCATTCTTTCATCTCACTCTCAAGGCTCCGAGCCACCTACCGTCCTGTCTTCACCTGATCCTCAAAGCTCTGAGCCATCTGCCGTCATGTCTTCACCTGATCCTCAAGGCTTCGATCCTTCTGCCACCATTCTTTCACCTGATCCTCAAGGTTCCGAGCCACCGACAGCTGCATCTGACCAACAAACCACCGACATCACAGGAGGACCCAACGTTGAGGCGTCTCTTCAGAGAAAGCCATCGCGTCTAACAAGGTTCAGTTCGATGCGATCGATCTTCAAGCCAGGCTATCCTTCGCCTACGACTGGAACTCGCCAACAGAACCCCGACACCGCAGAAGGATCTAACGCTACGGCGTCTCTTCAGAGAAAATCGTCAATCGCCTCAGGTATAAAGACTGTGGGCCGCGCGGCTGGTCGCACATGGGGCCATGTCAAGGACCAGACAAAGAACCTGACAAATAGACCAAGTTTGACTTTGCGTAGCAAGAAAGAAGGGGATCGGCAGCGCCAGGCCCCCGAACAAACCTCCGACAACCGAACTCTCGCCGAAGTCCCTTACAACGAGCCGACGACAGCTACAGCAAGCCCTTCCATTGACAAGGAGAATGACCCCGCGGTCTTCGATGAGCTCACACGACAGCAACCCCACCGGAGAGAATGTGACCCTCTTTCCAAAGGAGCGTGTACCAAGTACTTCAGCCCAGACGTCACAGGGTCGTGGACGTTCCAAGAGTGGAGGTTCAGGTCAGACGATGGACAAGACCCAGAACCGCCTTTCTGCGGGTTATCTCGGCAAGCGCCGGTCTGCGACCGATCTCGAGAAGCATGTTTCTGCCGATCAGATCGAGAAGTGTCGGTCCGTGGGAAATCTCGGGGAGCGTCTGTCTGAGTATCCTGAGAACGCACCAAGTGGCCCAGGACTACAAGGCCCCTTGCCCTTTGCCCCTGCGTCCTCGATTTGTCTGAGAAGGTGGTCTTGGGAGTGATCAACGGAACTGAGCGGAGTGCGATGATGGAGAGATAGACTATTGTATTGTTATGCTGCTTGATGAACGGAGGGTACTATGAGTTATTTGTTCACTCCCTTAATGTCCCTCTCTTTCGACCTGCGTGACCCTCTGACTGTTGCAGACAATCGACCTGAGACTCTTACTACAGGAGTCTCGCTTCGCGACCTTGCTAGCCACGAAAGGTCGTTGATTGTAAATGTGTAGGCTAACGAACGTCCGTTCAACCATCAAGTAGGCCCTGTTGAAATAATGCTTCCACTTACCAAGTCAAGAGACCAGAACTCATCGATGAACCACAGATCTATTGTTTCCTCAGCGACGCCTCAAGTTCCACCACCGCGCTCCCTTGCCACAGCCATCTTCCGAAACCTCTCCCGCAAAACTCACGATGCCCTCTTCCTTGCCAAACCCAGACACAATAGTCTCTTCCTCGCAAGGCGTAACCCCCAACTTGGCCGCCTCGCTCGCCGTGAACGTACCATATACATCCACCTCATCGAACTCGCCAAGACCCTCAACAGGAAACAGGACATTCGCCCCCCAAAAAAGAACAAACGAAATCAAAAACCCAATGAAAAACGCAACATAATACAGCTCATACACCGCGTCAGGCGCACCGCTCATACCCCCGGCACTCACAATCAACCCGCCCACCGTCGGCGCCCACCCCGCAACCCAGCACGGAATCACCCTCCAGTTGACACCATGCTGATACCAATAGTCGGACCCCTCGGGGCGGAACAGGTGCGACAGCCGGATACGCCGACGGCGCAGGACAAAGTAGTCGCAGACCATGACGCCCATGATGGGCGCGAGGAACACGGCAAACGAGTTGAGGACGGCGACGAAGGTGGCGGCCTGGTTGATGAGCTGCCAGGGCTGGATGATCCAGGCGGCGGCAAAGGTGAGGAGGGCGCCGCGGCGGATGTCGAGGTAGCGCGGGAAGAGGCCGGCGAGGTCGATGCCGCCTGCTACGGCGTTGGAGCAGACGTTTTCGAACATGGAGGTGAAGGCGAAGGCGAGGGCGAGGAAGAATACTGCGGCGCGGGAGCCGGGGGAGCCTTGTCCGTCTTTGGGGAGGGATGATGTTAACCCACACCGTCAAGGAAGTGTGGGAATTTGGGAGACAAATCAAAGAGAATGGGAGCACGGAATATCTGACAAGGAAAAGAGAGACTCACGATCCATCATGACCATCAACAGATCAGGCGGATTCCAATAAATCTGCCCATAAATCTTCTGGCACGCCGCAGTAGTAACCAACCCGCCCAGGCAAACAAGCACGCCAGTGACCCAGTACACCGACACCGTGCCGACAATATAATCCCTCTTATTCTTCGCATACCGCGAAAAGTCACTACTATTCGTCATACCCGCCGCTTTCCCGCCAATAGCCTGGTTGATCCCCGCCATCATCAGCCACGAGGCGCTCCAGCGCGACGAGGCGGGCACTTTTTCGCCCTGGTAGAAGACGGGTCCCACGCCACGCGCGACGGCGACGGACCAGACGACCATGGCGACCATGGCTGCGCCGCAGGCGACGGAGGAGATGAAGAAGGGCTTCTTGAAGCGTTCGGGGCGGATGAAGAGGAAGGGGAGGGAGACGGTCCAGAAGACTGTGAAGCCTAGGAGCTCGTAGGTTGTCGTTGGGGTGTTTTTGCTGAGGGTGTTGGGGATCTTTGCGAAGGAGGGCCAGATTGCGGTTATGCAGACGCTGTGAGAGATGTATGGGTCAGTCTTTGAGACTTAGCTCGAAGGGGCATGTTGAGCATACGTTACTAGTTTACCTCCATTCCAACCTGGTCATCCTCGAATCAGTCATCTTTCGCCTGGAACACGGTGGTCGTCTTGGAGAGACTAGAGACACACTTACACTGGAGAGCGGTCCAGATGAAGTTGAGGAGAATGCGCTGCAGCAGCGGGATGTAACTCGCTCGGAAACCCCATGTGTATCTGTTCTGGACGGTGAAGCCAATATGCCAGGTTAGACCGCACCAAGCCACGAGGATGGCGAAGAAGCAGCAGAGGGCGCGGGAGACGACGATGACGGCCATGGCCTGGCCTACGGAGAGTCCCTGGGTGAGGAAGGTGTTGGGGGTCTGCCATGTTGCGACGTTGAGGGACGATCTGTGTGGAGAGAGGGGAGTGGTTCAGCATTAGGCATTCTCGCAGCATTACTTGACATCTTTGCCACGATGATGGTACGAAGAGAACGAGACTTACAAAGACCAGGAGCCGAAAAAGTTGAACCAGCCCCATGTGCGGCGGGAGGGCGGCAGGGGAATGAGGTCGCGGTTCGACCAGGCGCTGACCTCTTCGTGGCGAGACTCGTCCGACTTGAGTGTCAGTGCCTCTTTGATCCTGCGTGCCGTTTTGTTTGCCATGGCCACCGTGACGAATGAGGGGTTGCAATCTTGTACGTTTGTATGTCCGTTTGCGCCGTTCGGGAACTCGTTTCGAGTCTGTGGGAAGGACTGCTCTAGCGGATATATAGGACCATCTTATCTTGGGATCCTTGCAGTGACCATGTTCTCTCCCATAGTTCTTGGTTCTGAAAGTGTTTCCGTTGGCGGGAGATACGCGCTGCTAATTGCTACCTTATCTGACTTGCATGTCGGACGATGTTCGGTAGCAGTTTTCCGGGGAAGCCTGCGTTTGCGCCCATTTTCTTGACTTCTGTACCTTGAAAGAAGCAATACGTCGGCGACTTTCCGAACATCGGATGACACCTCCCGCGAGCTCGTCCATCCCCCAAAGCGGCCTTGAATGTAACCCACTCTTCCCGGCCAACTTGGTCCTCGATGCCGATGATAAGGATGCGGAGCAGTGGGGCGTTCCCCGCCGGTGACATGCCGGGTGATAAGAAAATCGTGGGCAATCACCTCGGACTCATTCGTCTTGCCAGTGTAACAGAGAATTGTCAATCTTGGGCTAAAGGGTTGAAATTTCCAATCGAGTTGCTTGATTATTCATGTTCAAACCTGGTAGGATTGGCGTCGCGAGGTGAGGTTGAGGTGGGGACCACTATCTCTCCGAAATCCGGGGTTGGAATGTCGGCGTCTGCCCCGATGCCGGCACCGCGTCGGAGAAGGGCCGATACTTGAGTCGTGTGTCATGCACCTGTTCATCTGCTCTCATCATTGTAGACAACTTCGCTCCATGACCTATACCGTCATTTATCTCGATAGTAGGACGCATCATGCAAATCTCTCACAGCCTCGAAATCAAGTGAAACAAGTCAGACAATCATCGTCATCATCAGCTCATGAACAAAATGACGTTCCCTACCTTGAGAATAGGCGTCGACGTTGGCGGGTAAGTACCATGTCTCTCGCCTCTACATCTACAGACTTCACATCAACAGAGCCAAACTCTCACCTCCCAACTCTCAAACATCCAACTCACAATGGACAAACAGCACAAACACAGATGGCGTCATCCTCGACCCAACACCCGCCTCCTCCTCCTCCTCCTCCTCCTCCTCCTCCTCCCGCCCTCCCCTCGGCATCCTCGCCACCCAAAAGACCCCAACAACACCCAACCCAAGCACCGGCATCAACACCGCAATCTCCCACATGTTCTCAACCTCCAACATCTCCCCCTCCCGCATCGCAAGCGTCACAATCGGCACAACACACTTCATCAACGCCGTAATAGAACAAGACGCCACCCGCCTCGCCCCCGTCGCCGTCCTCCGCCTCTGCGGGCCCTTCTCCGCCACCATCTCCGCCGGCGTCGACTGGCCCCCGGCCTTACGCAGCATCATCTGCGCCCACCGCTCGCTCATCGACGGCGGGCTGGAGATTGACGGGGACTTGATTGCGGAACTCGATGAAGACGCCGTCCGGCGCGAGGTGGAGGTCGTGCGCGCAAAGGGGATCAAAAGTATCGTCGTCGTGGGGATCTTTAGTCCCATTGACGTCGTGTATAGGCAGGAAGAGAGGGCGGCGGAGATTATTCGCGACGTTTATCCGGGGGCGGACGTGGTGATGTCAAAGGACGTGGCGAATATCGGGTTCCTTGAGCGTGAGAACGCGGCTATCCTCAACGCTTCCATCCTCCCGTTTGCTAGGCGAACCATCCGTTCCTTTCAGGATGCCGTTACAAGGCTTGGACTGAAATGTCCCGTCTTCGTGACGCAGAACGACGGGACGATTTTGCCCGCTGCGGCGGCGGCGCGGTTGCCTATCAGGACGTTCTCCAGTGGTCCGACGAATAGCATGCGCGGCGCGGCGTTCCTCATTAGGGGCATGAAGGGAGAGAAGGAGGAGACAGGGCCGATGATGGTTGTCGATATCGGCGGGACGACAACGGACGTGGGATTGTTACTGGCCAATGGGTTCCCCAGGCAGGCGGCGGCGTATAGCGAGATTGCGGGTGTGCGGACGAACTTCTCGTACCCGGACGTCAAGAGTATCGGGCTCGGGGGCGGTTCTATCGTTAAGAGGAACGAGAGCACCGGTGAGTTAGTTATTGGGCCGCAGAGCGTGGGGTATCAGATCCAGACAAAGGCTCTCGTTTTCGGCGGCGATGTCGCGACGGCTACGGATTACACTGTTCTGTCGGACCCGAATGCCGTTCAGATTGGAGACCGGTCTCTCGTTGAAGGTGTAAGCGGCCTCGCGGACGATGTGCCAGAGTTCAAGGCACAAGCGAAGGCGATGCTGGAGCGGATCGTGGACACGATGAAGACTTCGCCCGAGGAAATCCCCGTTGTTCTCGTCGGCGGGGGCGCGGTCATTGCGCCGGAGAAGTTGAAGGGGGCGAGCCGGGTTGTGAAGCCGGCGTGGTCTGGGGTTGCGAATGCGATTGGGGCTGCGACGGCGAGGGTCAGTGGTGTTGTGGACTCGATTGAGAGTACCGAGACGAAGACTGCGTCCGAGGTCGTGGAGGCGTTGTCGCGGAGGGCTGTTGACCGGGCTGTTGAGAATGGTGCTTCAAGGGAGAGCGTGACTATTGCTGAGGTCGAAAGCTTCCCGTTGCAGGTATGGTTCTACGGCGCAATGAGTACGAGAGTGAACGCTAACTGTAGGTTTGTTTGGCAGTACATTGCAAACAAGTCACGAATCATCATCAAAGCTGTAGGAGACTTTGATTTCTCCAGATCGACATCCATGGATTCAACGACAATCCCAGATGACGTCGAGCACTGCGAAGAAGAACCACCCAGATTACCAGTACCTTTTCAAAGCCAGGACGTCTCATCACCGCAATCGTTGGTTTCGACCAAGGAGTACATTGACGACTACAAGCCCAAGGTCCTCAACCGGCAGTGGCATCTCTCCGAGACGGACCTCGACTGGATCACGACAGGCTGCTACATCCTAGGCACAGGAGGCGGCGGCTCGCCCTACCAACACATGCTCCGTCTCCGCGCAATGATGCGCGCCGGCGCCACCGTCAAGATTATTTCTCCACATGACCTGAAAGACGATGATGTTGTAGCTTGCGGCGGTGGGAAGGGTTCGCCGCAGGTATCCATCGAGAAGCCATACGGCGATGAGTAAGTCTCCCTTCGCTCGTTCGTCTTCCCAAAAGACAGAATATGTGGATTGTAACGCTTGTGGTTTGCAGAATCATGGAATCGCAGAGGGAACTCTACGCATACCTCAAGACGAAGCCTACGGCCGTGATATCTCTCGAGATAGGAGGCGGCAACGGCCTGCAGGGCCTCATCCTCGGCGCCAGCACCAATCTCGACATTCCTACAATCGACGGCGACTGGATGGGTCGCGCGTATCCCATCTCCCACCAGACTACCCCGGTAGTCTTTGAAAAGAAGGCGACGATGATTCCGTCGTGTATATCAGACGGGAACGGCAGAATCATGGTACGGTTCCTCTCTCGTCTTTTTGGCTAGTGCAAGACACGAATGAAGATGGAAGCAATTACTGACCTCGAATGAACACCAACAGCTCATGATAAAAGCCCGTACAGAACTCGACGCAGAACGCGCCTTCCGCGCCGCCCTCTCGCGAATGGGCTCCCACGTAGGCTGCGCAAAGGGCCCCGTTAGCGGCGGCGACACCAAGTCCTGGGTCGTCGAGAATACCGTCTCGCTCTCCTGGCGCATTGGCCGTGCAGTCGCGCTGGCGCGGTGTACCAACGCCGTAGACACCGTCGCCGAGGCCGTTGTTGATGTAGTCGGCGGGAGGGAGTCGGCGAGGGTGCTGTTCAGAGGCAAGATTGTGGGCGTGGAGAGGGTTACAAGGATGGGGCATGCTTATGGGGAGGTTATTATTGAGGGGTATACTGACGGCAGCGGTGGCTGTGATGAGGTGGTTGAGAGGTTTGTTATACCGTTCAAGAATGAGAATATCCTTGCGAAAAGGGTTGATGGTGATGGGAGGGAAGATGTAAGTTTCCCACTACTCCCCATCCCCATTAAGAGAAGGAAAATAGAAAGTGTGAAGCTGACATATCTCGTGCTCGAACAGGTCCTTGCAATCGTCCCAGACCTAGTCTGCGTCCTCGACGCACAAAATGGCGAGGCTCTCGGCACGCAAGAGTACCGCTACGGGCTGCTCGTCGTGGTGCTCGGCATCACGGCGTCCGATAAGTGGACGTCCACGGCGCGGGGCATTGAGATTGGCGGGCCCAAGGGGTTCGGGATGAGTGAGCTGGAGTATGTGCCTCTTGGTACTTTTAAGAAGCCGCAGAGCGTCATCGATGAGTTTGGGGGGGCAGTCTTGATGGGTCAAGGACCAAGAGCTTGTTGAAGTTCCGAGGAATGGAGTATCGTGCTTGTGTGATGTGGCTTGTGAAGATGGGTTCATTATGGGTCGAGGCGTGTACTCTCCATCTCCGGTTTCGGGTTGAGGTGAGGCTGATTCTTGGATAAATGCCCACGAGGAGCTTGTGGGACGTACACAGCAGCTGAGGGACATGATGTTGCTATGAGTACTCCTTGGCATCTAGGTAGGTATAGCCGCTTAACAGCAGGATGGATAGACCTGTCCAGTAAACTCAATAATCTTCATCGCCTACCTCACGTACCTTTCATCACAGCGAATCCAGCTCATGACCGCACATACAAGTTGCAAATCTCTCAGGGCCTGCGCGAACCCGCACGTGTGTCATCATGATGAGCGAAAGAACCGACAGGGGTGTGACTATCGAACCGTTATATTTCCTGCCGGGGTGTGATAACGCAACTCAAGCTAGAGGCCACAGCTACAGACTACACCCAAGAATCGGAAGACGGTGTGTTGGGGTCGTCTCCAAGTCGTCGGAACTCTCAGTGCCGCACCGTCAAAGTTACCGAAACTCTACCAGGTTGACGGAGGAGAGGAAGAGGGGAGGGTTAGCCAGCCAGTGAGCCACGCCGTTGTAAGTTCCTGCGGGAGCAGCCGGAAGCCGAGGGTGTAGAGTCCCGACTGTCTGGCTCTCTGTGAGACAAGTCGAGAGAAGAAGACAATCACGCAATCGAGAGAAAAAATGTCGGTTAAATAGGAGAGCAAGGGTATGACGGCGGCGAAAGGGAAAAGTTTGTTTTGAAGAACAGTTGCACTGAACTCGATGGACAACGTCTGTCTGTCCCGGTTCCAAAGCAGCAGTGGAGAGGACGGCAGTCAGAGAACCAGCCCGGAGGTTTTGGGCAGAGGAAAGTCCTGGCGCCCCGGGGCTGCGGGGGACCCCCGATCGGCGGGCCCCACACCAGAAGTGTCTCGCGTCATCGGACGGCCATTGCGATATGGGGGGCTCCAAGCACGCAATTTCCAGCCGTTTGGTCACTTTACACTGTTTTTATCAGCATTGCTGCATTGTGTCTGTTCAACCGTCAGTGTAAGGTATCTAACTCAATGTAATGCCTTACTAAATGTAATGAGGGGTACGGAGTATACCGAGTATACGGAGTAGATCAGATAAACCCTCTCTCTCCCCGTTGCAGAACCTTTTCCCCCTTCCTTCTCCAAATCTGCCCTCTCTCTCTCTCTCTGTGATATAAGTCCGTCTCATCTGCCACTTCCCCTCATTTTGATACCTCATCCTGCTACCTCACCTCATCACCTTTCATTTCTCTCCATTGATACCCCCCTCCCAATCTTCATCAAAATGGCTCCAGGTGCCCTCCTTGACGAGCCAGTGCAGCCCTCTCAGGGTCCCTGGAAGGGCAAGAACGACAATGCCCCCAGAACCATCTTCCCCGACGGCATCCGCACTTCGGGACAGCACAACCCTCTCTATGACACCCTCAAGCCCTACGCCGAGTTCCCCGAGGAGATCTCAGGCCCGACGGTCTGGCGCAAGGAGGAATTCGAGCAGCAGCCCGACAAGTGGACGCATCGTTTCACCCCCGAGGAGGTTGAGGAGCTCGGCCGCACCTCTGATGCCTTTATCGCCAGCAACACCCCTCTGACGGGTATCTCCAAGGTACTTTTGACTCTCATCGTCGAAGAAGAAGACTTTCACTTGAACGACTTCAATCCGCCCCTATGTGACTGTGCACTAACACAAACCAACACAGTCCAACTTCCCCCTCCCAACACTAGGCAAACGCCTCACCGACCTCCGCAAAGACCTCATCGACGGCAAAGGCTTCATCCTCTTCAAGGGCTTCCCCGCCAACGAATGGGGCCCGCACAAGACCGCCGTCGGCTACATGGGCCTCGGCACCTACCTCGGCTACTTTGTCTCCCAAAACGGCCGCGGCCACGTCCTGGGCCACGTAAAGGACGTCGGCGACGACCCGACCCAGATCGACAAGGTCCGCATCTACCGCACCACCGCCCGCCAATTCTTCCACGCCGACGACGGCGACCTCGTCGGCCTCCTCTGCGTCCAGCGCTCCGCCGAGGGCGGCGAGAGCGACCTCGTCAGCATCCACGCCGTCTGGAACGAGCTCCAGCGCGAGCACCCGGACGTCGCCGAGACGCTGACCAAGCCGATTTGGTACTTTGACCGCAAGGGAGAAGTCTCCGAGGGCCAGGAGGAGTGGACGAAGCAGCCCGTCTTCTACATTGAGAACGGAGGGCAGCGCCGCGTATACTGCAAGTGGGACCCGTACTACGTGCGCTCGCTGACGCGGTTCTCGGATAAGGGTGTGATCCCCCCGCTGAGCGAGGAACAGCTGCACGCGCTCAAGACGCTTGAGGATACGTGCCAGAAGCTGGCGCTGCACATGATTCTCGAGGTGGGCGATATCCAGTTTTTGAGCAATGCGCACCTGCTGCACGCGAGGACGGCGTATACGGACCACCCCCACCCGGCGCCGCGCCGGCATTTGCTCCGGCTGTGGCTTTCGACGCCCGAGAGCGAGGGCGGGTGGGTGCTGCCGTTCCCTGATAGCAAGGAGTTGAAGAGGGGTGGTATTCAGGTGAACAATGTGCCTCCGCGCGCGCCGCTGGATGCGGAATAGTGGTCTGGAGAGGTTGGTTAGCATTTTTGTGCGATTGTATTGGAAGCGTTTGTGAGGAGGGTGAGATAAAAAATATCGGGTCCACCATCCGAGATGAGACGGATGGGTTTCGATTGCTTCATGAGACGCTGGCGGTAAGCCCGCATAGAGATTCTCAAGATGAATGAAAAAAGTAAAATTTCAAGACAACACGCGATCATATCATCATCATTGAGGAAGCCCTCCTCACATTGCCACGAGTGAAGTGTGACCGCGCATGGACACTCACGACATTGGTGGGATTATGCCGTATGAGAGAGATGTAGCGATGAGCAGTTTTCCAAAAAAAAAAAAAAAAAAAAAAAAAAAAACGCCGTACCTATCTATCCAAGCGGGGAATTGGTGTGATTTGTGGTGATGAGAGATGAGATTGTACGTGAAGAATGGAGAGATGAGCGACTGCGGTGCGTCCGGCGAAGTTTGGCGAAGCTTTCCGCGGGATTCAAGTTACCCGAGTTTTCCGCAGTTTCCCGCTCGCTGATGGCGGGGTTGTTTCCATGTCCTGTCATACACTGCGACCTCGAAATGACCCCGCCGCGGGGCAATTGTCTTCATCGCAAGGGATGAGAGAGAGAGAGAGAGAGAGAGAGAGAGAGAGAGAGAGAGAGAGAGGTGAGGGGCAGCTTCCGTCTCATTGCTCGCTCAACGCTCACCTTACTTACCGCAATGTTATGAAACTCATCGTGAGAGTGAGTCCATCTTCACTTGAGCAACTCAATCGGACTTCTTCATTTTGTGCATTTATCACCTGAATAGAAACTTACTTCCATTGTCTTGACCAAATCAACCGCAATCATCATCTCTTATCGCCAAATTGCCCCGCGATCCCGTTGCAGATAGCAAGCAGCCCTGTGGACCACTGCACCGTCCCCCTTATCCACCCGCCCGCGTTGAGCCCGCGTTGAGCCCGCTCGAGTCAAGTCCGCTTCTTGGCCTCCTCCCATCCGACGTCGCTCCTCGACGCAACGACGACGTTGTTATTAAAGACGAGCTCATCCTCACTTTCTCGAACAATGTCTCGCTTATCTTGTTATTCCTCTCTCTCTCTCACTATTCTTTCTCCTCGCCACTTGATACCCCCTCCCTTTTCCGAGTAGACACCCACGTCTTCTTACCCAAAAACCCCAGACTGGACACAACAAAGAACCCAAGATGGCGGCACAACTCCCGGAGCCCTTTGCGAGCATCCCTCGCGAGAACTTCCTCTTTGGCCCCTCGCCCATCGAGCCCCTCCCCCGCATCTCCGCCGCCCTCGGCGGAAAGGTCAACGTCTACGCCAAGCGCGAGGACTGCAACTCCGGTCTGGCCTACGGCGGTAACAAGACCCGCAAGCTTGAGTGAGTTCTCCCCCATCCTGCCTTCACAGCATGATGGATGATGAAGGCCGCATGAACCCTACGGAACCCCCAAACTAACAACAAACCCAAGATACCTCGCCTCAGACGCCCTCGCCCAAGGCTGCGACACCCTCGTCTCCATCGGCGGCGTCCAGTCAAACCACACCCGCCAAGTCACCGCCGTCGCCGCCAAGCTCGGCCTCAAAGCCGCCCTCGTCCAGGAGAAGTGGGTCGACTGGACCGACCCCGTCTACGACAAGGTCGGCAACCTCCAGCTCTCGCGCCTCATGGGCGCCGACGTCCGCCTCGACCCTTCGACTTTCGGCATCGAGCACAAGAACACCCTCGCCAACCTCAAAGAGGAACTCCTCGCCGCCGGACGCAAGCCGTATTACATCCCCGCCGGAGCGTCGGACCACCCCCTCGGCGGCCTGGGCTTCGCGCGCTGGGCTTTCGAGGTCGAGGCGCAGGAGAAGGAGCTCGGTGTGTTCTTTGATACGATTATCGTCTGCGCGGTGACGGGATCGACTATGGCGGGTATGGTTGCGGGCTTCAAGCTCGCGGAGAAGAAGGGCGGCAAGAAGCGCAAGGTGGTTGGTATCGATGCCTCTGCGACGGTGAAGCAGACGTTTGACCAGGTGCTGCGCATCGCCAAGAACACGGGCGCCAAGATTGGCCTCGAGGAAGGAGATATTACTGAGGCGGATATCATTCTGGATGACCGGTTCCACGGCGGTATTTACGGTGTGCCGGACCAGGTCACCATTGACGCCATCAAGTTTGGCGCCAGCACGGAGGGGTTCATTACGGACCCTGTGTATGAGGGCAAGAGTTTGGCGGGTATGATGCAGCTCATTAAGAATGAGGAGATTGCTGCTGGGAGCAATGTGTTGTATGCGCACTTGGGTGGCCAGTTGGCGCTCAACGCGTACTCTGGCATGTAAATGGCCTTGATGTTTGAAGTTTTAGAGTTTTGCAGAAAATAACAATACCCTTTCATGTTCGACCTTTCTTAACCGGGCACCTATCGTGACTTTGTTATTCTTTGTTTGTTCGGGAGATGGCAGTAAAGTTCATTGCGACCACGGTTCGTGTGAACAATGGCCATGCCTTGATGGCTTGACCTCGACCTATCTCCGGAAAGCGGGACAGACTGTTATAACATCCCACCCATGTTCGACTTTGAGGACATCTTTCTGTGGAAGAACAACAACCATTCTTCATCATCTCCAGCTCTTCCTGCTATTCCAAAAGAAACAACACCAAATCAACACCCACTCAATCCCAACCCTCCTTCGGGCCATAAACGCGCACCTACCTCCATGTCCGTGATTTGGGACATTGCCTTCTTCTTCAGTTCTCCTCATTACCATCGAGGTCTTGCTCAACTCACTCATCACAATCACCACAACACCTACACAAAAGCGCGTACGTTATGTCGATGAGAACTAGCCCCATCACCCTTGGTAATACCTCTACTCGTGCGAATATCACAAACAAGGAACCCCGACAGCCTTCTTCCCTCTTCCTCCGCCTACTAAATATCTACAACATGGCTTCCAATCTCTGGGGTACCATCAAGGCTTTCGTCTCAGACAGGAGGAGCACAAACAAGCCCACGGAAAAGACATCGCCAAACTACGAAAAGCTCATACGTCGCGCATCTCAGCGACATGATCACCTGCAGTGCCATAGAAAGCGGCCGGTTACCAAGGAAAACCACCCCAACCAATACTATCAGCAACGGGTGTTCACTCCCGAGGACGATAGGAAGATGTGGAAGACACTGTTGTTACCCAGCTGCGAGAGCAAAGAGGAGAAAGAGAAGAGAGAGCGGGAGGAGGAGTCCAAGTACCTCCTTGACTTGATCACTCGGATGCCTGTCCAGAGTACACCCTGCAGTGGAGATGAGCAAGTCAAGGAGGACGAGCATGTTCAGATCGAGAAGCATGTTCAGGTCGAGAAGCATGTTCAGGTCGAGGAGCATGTTCAGGTCGCGGAGCACGTTCAGATCGCGGAGCACGTTCAGATCGCGGAGCACGTTCAGGTCGCGGAGCACGTTCAGATCGCGGAGCACGTTCAGATCGAGAAGCATGTTCAGAAAGACGATGAAGAGAAGAAAGACGACCAAGAGAAGAAAGAAGATCCACACGTCTGGTCAGCCGAAGTCGAAGCTGAACTTGCGTTACTCGACTGGGACGCACTTGGGTTGCTTGATAGGTAGCTAAGACAAGACTGTTGAGAAGGGTCAAGATGGTCAAGATCATCCACACGCCTGAGCGGTCGAGGGTATTCTTGCAATCATCGATTATGAGGCACTGGGCTTGCACTGAGAGGCAATGTAGGGTTTGGTGGACTTACATGCATGATGCGGGATCAATCCCGAGTCAGGAGCAGAGGACAGGCTTCCTATGGAAGCATCAGGCAGTCTACCTTAGTGTGCAATGCAAATCACCCTCGCTCTTAATTACTACCACAGAGACAGAGTCAAATACGCCCAAGGGGGGTACGTATACCCAAAACTGTCATGGATATGCCTCCAAGCCATTGTGGTGAGAAGCTGCTTTTCAAAAGCGAGATGATATCTAGAGCATCAACTCTGAGTCTCGAAAAGATTTGATCAGCGCTCACGAGTCCTTCAGATGCGTTTCATACGCATCTCAGATAGTTTTATCTTCTATATAAGAAAATATAAGAAAACAGAAAAATGCTCGCGTAGGCAAATATGCCTCCGAGGGCCGGTTACTTGTTGCGGCAACGCCGTCTGTGGACGGCGTAGGGCTGCTAGAGACCCATTCGCTTCTGCCGAGTCAGGGACCCCCTGCTGGCGTGCTTTTTGGAACTGAACGGACCCTGGGGATTAGATACTAAACTCCACTGCTCTAGGCACGAGAAGAAAAGTGTACATTATAGACTGCCTGACTTGTCGTACGCTATAATGGCGGCACGGCACATCATATGCCCAAAGGGCGCTCTGGTTGATCGGAGCTTAGTTACATAGATAGCTGGGCACCTGTCCCTGATGATGTAAAACACCACTACTACTACTACTACTACATCTCAGATAGTTGCATTCTTCCAAGCAGGTAGTTGTAGTAAAGTTCCATCCACGCCAAATCCCAAGTCAATCCCAAGTCCATCTCAAGTCCCCATCGCGCCTGCCTTCAACTTAGACAAAGTCCTGTCGACCACGCAACTGCCAACAAAGAGGGAGGCGGGAGATTTTCCAACTTCACCTTTTCAACTTCATTCACCACCCGGCAACTCATCAGTCGGCCTTACCCTTTTGGCCAGCCTCCCCTACCTTAACATTCTCCGTCCCTCTCCCAACTTGCCGTCACAATTTCTCCTGCGACACCTCACAGCCCACCTTTTCACTCAAACATAACACCCTTTGCGCGAGCTTTCTAACCTTGATCGCCAAACACGGCACTTAGCGAGTCCATCATTTTTGCCTACAGCATCGTACAGCCATCGGACCATCCAGCCTTTTCCCTTTTTTTTTTTTTTTTTTTTTTTTTGGAACCTCGTTAAAATTCCTTCTCCCTACTCATCCGCCAGCAGAAGAGCGAGAATAGCGGAAAGACAGCCATGGCTTCCGATCCCATGGAGCTCACGATAGAGCCCATCGTGGATCTCACTATGCAGCTAGTCGAGTTCAAAACGGGCAGCCATAATGACGGCAGCCTGTCGTCGTCGTCTGCCGCACCCCAGCCCAAGCGGTCTTGCCTCAAGAACAAATCGACCGACCCCGACCAGAAATACACTGGCAGTGATTCCCCTGGCTACTTTTGTTCGTTCCTTTCTCTTTCCTCGATGTACCTTACTTTACCTTTACCTGCCGTACTTCCTGTTCACGATCTTTCACTATCCATACCATCGCTTTGTTTGTTGCCATCGAAGGAACCTACGGCTAATTCTCTTTTTCTTTCACAGTCCAGGGCTCCTTGGAGCAGGAACTCGGCTACTTGCAAAAGTACTTTCGCAAATGTCGCCACATAGCACAGATGGTGGCGTACATCGATCGAGTACGTGCAGAGGACGCCGATGCCGAACTTGCCAGGACGGATCAAAGCAACGGTAAAGACACGGACGTTCCCACGGGCAACCACATCATCACAAAGCCCACCGTTCATTTCTCGGAGCCGCTGGAGATGACATACTACTGCTTCGAGCCTGAGGAGGCCATGACCGAGTATCCTGGCTACGTGACGTCCAACCGGCGCGCGTGGGCTGAGGTCTCGTTTGAGCCAGGCAATGAGATCAAGTTGGATCGGTTCCGGATGTGGTATCGTTGTCGTAGGCGGAGGAATGGCATGTTCTATTATGGTTAGAACTAGGTTGGGATACTTGCCGTATTATCCATGATGATCTTTGGAGTTGAAGGCGTTTGGACAAAAATGGGAGATTGATTTGGGCCAGCGGGTAGACGTGGTGTGTTTTCTATCAGCGAAGGAACCACCATTGGGCTTTGGAGGCATACCTACATGCCTAGTGATACCCCTTCCAGATATGAAGCGGTTGACTGAATTAAAACAATCAAGTCACACTTGCCTTGTAAAAAATCTCCCATCTTCCCCGGCGGTCAGATCCTGCCGTCAAACCGACTTCCCTCGTCGTGAGGCAAGTCGTCAGCTTCTCCTCATGGCAAATACATCTTCAGCATGGAAGCACACGTGACTCCCCGGGAAGGAGGAAGGGGCATGCGGCACCCGCCATCCGCACCTTCCGCACCTTTTGCACCCGCCTTGAGAGCAAGCCTTCATATACCCCTACAAGTCCATTCCTGTCACCAACGGCAGCAGGCGCCACACAGGCTTGTGAGGTCAGGTCAAACTGCCGTTTGGCGGGATGGTTACGGGCGAGCCTTGTCAACAGGCTTAGCCTACGCTAGGATCCAGGTTCGAATCCCAGCATGAGCACCAGAGATGTAACCCCCAATCGCCATCGGGGGGGTGAACTCTTTTGTCTTTTTGGATCTTTAGCTGCTTATTATGTAAGTGTGTTTTTGTAGATTGATAGAATAAATGACATTTCATCTTTTTTTTTGCTGCTGAGTCACAGAACGGCCTGCGGGTTCAAGATGTACTTGGTGGCTATTGGGGCGTGCCTTGGGGCTGTCATAGAGGAGAGAGAGAGAGAGAGAGCATTTCTCCACGAACTTCTCATGGGACTCGGGAGAGGAGGGTGCGCTTCAGAGAGATCTGGACATAAGGAGGGCCAAATACCCCTTTCTCAAGTCGGGGACTCTAGGATATATCCCACCTACGTGGAAACATGACACTGGACAGCTTTGATGTTGACTTGACGAGTATGCCCCTGGCTCTGACATCTTGGCCCACCATACTAGTAGCCAGAGAAGCATTCTTCGCAAAAAGGAGCACTTCCGACAGGGATTCAAGGGCTCAAGTATGGTGTTTTGAGTCTTTGTTTGCTCATGTAAGGTGAACGAACGGCTGTGATGGATGACTCCGAATGAGAATTAGACTTCTCCCCAGCCACGGAATGGTCAGCGGCGTCAAGACTCAAGAGATATCGTTGCCAAGGCTGTGTGGCGTCTCCCCCCAGGCTGTGCCGGTTCAGCCCGATCGTGAACATGTACGGTGTGGTGAGACAAGGTTCGTCATGTCTTCCATGCATCCGGGTGGCGCATCCATTACGTCCCTGGGGTAGAAGGATTCAGTAAGACAGGGCGCCCCATTCGGAGATACAGCTACATCCCACGAACCACGATGATTTCTTCACGGTGGTGGTTCACTCACGATGGTGGTCACGAGGCAAGACCTCAGCCTTTCTTGTGTTCCATCATCCTAACGATCCTCTTTCCTCGGCGTTACTCTGGAAGGCTCAGTGGCTCAAGAATCATCCCACGTGATGATACGTTACACATCGTGGTGCAGACTCCCATTGGGCCGTGCTGTTGTTGCCTCGTTTGTAGCGCTCGCCCCGTTGTGCGTGAGTAGAGGCTCACGATGCGGGGTATGGCCATCTCCGAAAGGTCAGGTAGAACATGTGTAGTGAGAGCTGACAGCCTGATTGCGATCTCTGGGCTGAGCAGCAACAGAATCTTCTATAATTTACGCACCACGACGACTCCTTGACGCCGATTCATGCTGGAAGACCTTGACCCACGAAGCTGACGTATATCCAAAATGGAAGCTCAAGACTTGATATCAGACATGAACGAAAAGAACTCGGAATTAGTTAAGAGCCATCCGCTCATATCACTATCACGCTCATACCCGACGCTTCAACGCCTCAATCGCTCCGCCCATTCAAGACAAAAGAGGCGCGTTGCCCTCAAGACTCATACCTCTCACGTCTGCCTGCAACAAGCAACATGTCCAGCTCATCAACCAGCCTCGGGACACGAAATCGAAAAGCACATCACACGAGATGTGGAAGAATCTCATCCAGGGCTAGCGATCATCGACTTACCACCTGAGTTACATCACATCATGCTCGATTTTCTCGACATCGTCGACGGCACATGTCTTGGGTTAACAAGTCGCTACTTTTATGTCCTCCACCGACGGCGCCACGGCCGTGTCCATCTCCACACGGGACGTCCGGGACCCAATGACCAGGAATGGGCATGGCGATACGCGTTCCCATTGTCAACATTCAAGCACATCAACATAACGACGATGACCATCGCTGAACCACAGAACGATACTACATGTACGCTTACAAACGAGCATCCGATATCCCAGCCGCAACCGCACCCGCACCCGCACCCGCTCTTCTCTTGCGAAAAGTGTGGACGAGAACTCTGCGAGTTACAGAGACACCTTCGAGAATGGTTCCCTCGAGACCATGAGTACTGCCGCATCTCTGGCAAATACGTGAAAGCAGACAGTTGTCGAGAGAAACAAGGCCTCGTCTGTCACAGGCGCTCACCCAGAAACCACGCCTTGTGTGGGAAACATTACCCACGATAATACACTGCCGAAGAAACTGTGCGAGAAGTCATAGGGCTTGATGTTACAGTGGTCACTAAATTCCCAGTTATCGCAAAGGAGGAGATGAACAATGCTCTACAGGCATAGGAGATGAACATCTGGGGTTGCACACCATCTCGTCGTAGAAGGAGTAATAGAGTTCAAATTCGAAAAGCTTATTTCAACTCACTTGTGATTGAGACGGGGCCCATCCGAGCTCCAGACAATCTCGCACTCACCCCTCAAATGACTTGAAAGAGCAACAAATGACTCGCTGAAGTCGCGTCTCCCTGCCGAGTAGCCGTGACTTGCAAGGTACGGCAAATGCGCTTCGTCATGAAGTAGTGATCTTTGCAGTTCCCAAAATACTCGCTGTACTGGACCCAAAAGACTGAAACTCATTCATTCTAGCAGTTACGGAAAGAAGACATGTAGCAGTCCCTCTGAATCTACAACGTTGGGGGCGCGGTTATCATCTCGGCGCCACCGTGTCACTGGGTCCAACATGGCCCGAAAGGCAACTTCGTGTTCAGAGTCCAGTGTTGAGCCCTCACGCATTCGCAAACACATCACCAGATATGGGAGTGCAGTGTCGGACTCGCCAAAGAAGCGTGACTGTGCCGTGCTCGCAGCTCAAGGCGGGTACGCGAGTCAACTTGCCTCCCGTCTCGAGCAAAAAACTCGAAAATAGGCTGAACTGGGCACAGGAAAAGGAGCAGCTCGACATCATTCTCTTCCGTCGGATGCCAAGACCAGGGAAAATGCCAGCAACGCCGCAGACCGGCAAAGGAACTCAAGTCCCCTTGCCAGGAATCCAGAACCCGCGCCCCTCCCGGAGTTGGAGAAGTGGCAACTCCGGTCCACCGGATTTATTCCTCCCTCTATGACCCAGGACCCTAGGTACTCTGCCGAGTCATTGTGTCTTTACATCAATTCCCCGATTCGATCCGACATGGTAAAGAACGCCGGTCCGAACCAATCACGTCGAGTCGGATGGCTGAATGTGGGAGTGATTGACTATGCTTGGCAAGGATACTACGATGTCGCTTCAAGACGAGGGAGGGGCAGCGAGAGGGAGAGGGGGGGGGGAGGATGAGAAAGTCTATTTGGACGACTGTATTCATGAATATTCTTGAGAACATAGACACATGCGACTGTTCTTGAGAGAGTGTGAGCACATATCCCGTCGGCTTGGGAGTACAGAATTCCCAGTTTTCGCGGGTCGAGTCGCAATGCCGCGACTTGAAGGTGACAACAGGCCCCGTTTCCCACTTGTTCCTCCCCACAGTCCAAGTGATCGTTTTGGAGTGGATTTGTGTAGTGTAAAGACCGTGGCAACGTAGATCAGCTCGAGTCATGGAACCTGTACCGGCAACCTTGGTGTTGACTGATATCCCACCATTTGTGGCACTGTGAAGAAATGCAAGGGTTCTTCTGCCTCTGGAGGCCTTGCAACGGGCCGACAAAGGAGCTGTTCACAACAAAAACAAAGGCTTGCGGAATGGTGGTTTTGGACATGAATGTTATGTGGATTGTGTGGTTTAGTTGAGCAAAGTAGGGTATGGTGAATATCTGTTGATACCAACAGCAAGCAATGGCGCCAATCCAACACTTTGACCCAGAGCGGTCGTCCTCAAGCATGTTACTATGCCGGCAATCAGATATGATATAATTCCCATAATCTTGGGCTAAGTATGGTCTAGAATTTTAATCCTCGTCGCTATGATCGAAGCAGTCCACGCTCATGGTAATAATCTGCAAAAAAAAAAAAAAAAAAGAAGAGAAAACAAGGGGAGGAGGGAAGAGATTCTCGCGCCTGCCTTCGGCCGGCGGAAAACGAACATGAACTCTTTTCAAACTCATGACTCGTCCACTTCACTGCTCCCTCCCCGAAAATTCATAGCCCTCCATCCAGCCGGCGAGCTGATCCAACTCACAGCTGCCGCAGCGGAGCAGCAGACGTTGGGTGTACGGGACCTGTACCGCGGCAGCCGATGACGATTTATCCTTTTTGTCGTCCGGCTGGACCAAATCAGCAAATCGGGCATCGGTGAGGTAGTCTTTAACGCGCATCTCCTCGGCCGGCAACGAAAACAGGCTGGCATTCTGCCGCGTCACCTCCTCGATGCTGACGTTGTGTTCCCGCTCAATCATCCGCTTGCCGATGTAGTGCAGATTGTGTCCCTCCCCCAGCGTCACGGGCTCCCGCCGCCCCATTGCGAGTTCCCAGGCGATGAGCCACGCCTGGTACCGGATATCGAGCCAGCGGCACTTGACAATCACGAACTCGATGAGGGAGAGGAAACTCGGTTTGAAGTCGAATGTAAAATCGTCCGTCGTCTCGGATGGTACATCAGGGCAGCTGTCAAGAATCAACCTTGCGAGCACGACGA